CTTTCAGTGGATCAATCATGAGGGGTATACTCATATATTTATTATACAAAATTATATATATTTATATAAAGAATTGAGCTGGCAATAGTTATTTTAATTTTTGCGTATCCCTCTTTTAGAACCCCGCCGAGTAAAGCGAAGCGAGAATGAGATATATTATATATACTGTAAGTATTTCCCATCCCCAAAATATCACTCCTTATTCGCTTCATTATACTAGTCCAACTCTTCAATCCAAATTCAAATCCAAATCCATCCATTCAATATATCCATCCTCCTCCCTCCCCCTTCTCCCTACCACTTACAATCACAACCCTGTATCTATCTATCTCATCGCATTGATGTTTCGAAACATAAACATAACATTGTGTTAAATTTGTCCCTGTTCCTTCGATTTTGATTTCGATTTCATCAATAAACACGAGATATACTCGATCATATACTCGAGTACAAGTAGTTTTGAATATCTAAGTCAAATCTTAATCTTATTTGTTTCTTATTCTTGACTTCGTATAATAGAGTTATGCTATGCTTTGATATGATATGATATGAATTTTATTTATCAATTATTAAGTAGAGTATGTGTTATGACAATCTTACATATTCAAAATGTATCATTCGATTCTCATGTATCAGAAATTAAAGCGAAGCATGGTGTAGGTAGGTAAAAATAACACGCACAAGAGTCAAATTTATTTCCTATCATCCATCTAACCAATATTACTCATCCTTCTCGATGCCATTCCATCATCATCATCATATCATCGCCCCTCTATCCTCTCCCATTTTACTCACACCCATCCACTCACCCACTCACCCACTCTTCCGCACCTCCCTCTTCTCCCTCCTACTCAACTCATCCGAATCCGTCCTCTCAACCCCCGCCACCCCATGCGCAACCACTATCTCCGGGCCCGAAAACCTCTTTCTCGCCGTCGTCCCCCACGTAACCGCCGCCACCATCATTATCACCCCTATAGCCGCCGATGTATAATTCATATTATCGCTTGTAACGGGGTACACCGACGGGAAATTAAAGGAAACACATGCAAACAGTAGATACGCCAGACCCACCGCATTAACCAGCAAAGAAACCAGCGGTCTCATGGCCCAAGGACCCGTTAGTTGGCGATGCGATCCGTTGAAATAGGAGATTAAGCGCACGAGCATAGGCATAGCATATGAGAGATAAAATCCCTCCGTCGCGATGGCGATGACGGTGTTGAATCCCGTTACGGTGCCAAAGTAGATACTGTTGAATGCCATTTGCACTACACTCCCAATGATGATAGCCACGACGGGAACTTGATGTTTGGCGCTGACTTTACTGATTTGATTGGAGAATGGAAGGCCATGATCTCGAGCGAAAGCGTAAAGACTTCGACTTCCTTCTGCAAGCAGTGCGTTGGAAGATGTGACGTTGATGATGACAATCATAGAAGCGAGGAAACATGCTCCGACGTGGCTATTGGTTGAATCGGCGTAAATTTGAATTAGCGGAACTAATGTAGGTGTGTTGGCAACGGCATCAATGTCGCCTACGCAGAAGCAAACAGCGATGAGGAAAATGAAACCAGTGATGGCTCCAATGTAGACGGAGAGAACCATCGCGCGAGGTGCTTCTTTGGAGGCATCCTTTAGTTCTTCGGTCATGTGGGAGGGTGCGTCGTCTAGTTTATCATATCAAGTTAGTCTCAAGTTATTCCCACCATCGGTCCAATCAAGTCCAGTCAAGTCAAGTCAAGTCGAAGAGAAGAGAAGAGAAGAGAAGATAGGCGATGATATAAGGAAAGTAGCGTGGTAAAAAGGACTTACAACAACACATTCCAAACGCCGGCTGTAGTATCCCAATAATACCAGCCATAGCCGTTCCAAACCCAGTAAAGTTCTGAAAGTCCCGGAAGACAAAACTAGCACTTTGCTTGTTGGTGTTGCATGCTAGAATGGTGACAACTGTCACCACAAACGACGCGATGTTGAAAACCAGCGCAACCGTAGAGACTTTGTCAAGAATCTTCGATCCCCATAAGTTGATGAATGCTGCAATCAAAGTCACCACATATGCTACCAAGACGGTGTGCCACCTCTCAATCACATATGATGGATTGACCAGATTCACTTGACCTAGGATGAAGTTTGCGCCAATAAAACTGTTGGTTGCGCCCATGGCAAGAATACCTGTACTCGGGTCACAGAAGGTCAGAAATAGCAATTTTCCATGGGAAACAAGGAACTTGGGGCTGAGATCTCATGGAAGGTCATGAGATGCTTCTTCGGTATCACATTTTCTCTTGGGTACGACTCAAGTATGGTACGAGTATGACTGGAGAGAACACGACTGACCGATTATCATAAACCATCCCGTCAGATAAGAGAATTGTTTCCTCACCGGTTTCGGTGAGAGAATATAGACCCATGAATATTGTCCTCCGGCAACGGGGTACTCAGAGCACATTTCTGCCATGGAGTAGACGACGCAGAGGGAGACAATACTGATGCCTACCCATCCCCAGATCATCTGCGTAGGCGTTCGCCGTTAGTTGGGCGTTCGAGTAGTATAACTGATAGATTTTGTCATTCTTGACAACTTCAAATGTCTCGGACGTCGTGGAACATGTTTGAGGCTTATGTCGCAAAACCAGCGCAGTGCAATGTATGAACTTCCTCAAGAATCGACTAAGATTCTCGAAATCGACCCATAGATAGGAGAATTAAGTTTGGAATTGGAGGGATGGTGAGATCTAAATGAGAAATGTGAAAGGTTACTCACGACCGGTGGACCACCAGCATTGACACCTGTGACAAGCACACCACCGAGGGCACTCCAACTGCAAGAAGCCGTTAGCAAGCGTTAAGCGTCCCATCTTGCCACGTTTTTCTGATCCAAGGTTGCAGCACCGGTGCCGATCACCGGTGTTGGGATTCAGAAAACGCACAACATACGCAGAAGAATACTTGCCTCGTAACGATGGAAAATGAGAAGCCAATCATGCCCAAGAGACCGAATGATCGCTTGAGTTCTGAAATTGTGCTTATCAGTAGATGATCAAATGATTTGTGCTAGGGCATATCATAGTAGACTGAGAATCTCAGGAGGTTCGACGTACCAGGACGATAACCCATATTCTCGAGAGCAGCATCTTCAGCCACACCTGAAGGAAAGACCTTTCCCACAACCGCTTCTTTTGACATCTTATCGATTAAACTCGAGGTGAAGGATCCAAATACCACACTTTTGGAACAAGGTAGTGGCAACTTCCAATATATGTTGTACTGTTAATTAAGGAGTGGAGAGACATATGACCAAGGATACAACCCCAGGTATTTATAACCCCGTTTAGAGCAACTGATGAGAGATCCCTACCTTATCGGGATCTCATCGACGGGTATTAGATGGGGGTAGATGGGAATGCAGATGCAACATTGCTGTTTGCCAGTCGGAGGGTTGGTTGCGAAATAGCCATGTTAGACTTTCCCTCTATCGAATGATAATGACTTATCTAGCTGAGTATGTCGTATGGGATATGATTAAGGCACGAAAGCAGAGATACGAATGCATTTCATGCTGTCATGTGTGTCCAATATCGATTTTTCTATCAGTATCTCAAATATCACGGCTCAATCCGACCAGCCGACCATGCTGCAGTAATGCATGTTTGTATCTTGTCTTGAATCACCGTATCGGAGAAAAGAAAGAATAATGGGGAACGATTGTTTGGGCGAGCGTTGGATCTTTTAGTTGACGGGTTCATGGTTAGGGATTGGATTGGTCCGGGGCAAACACTGCTAGGATAATTTTTTAGGCTTATCTGTGGCTTGTCCATATAACTCTCCACCAAAGATAATTTTAAGCTTTTTATTCCGTTGTTCATCAACATGAACTTTATTATTACGTTTCGTTCTTTCTCGTTATATGACACTGCAGCTGGCTTTCTCGGCTTGTTGGCTGGCTTCCTTGCAAGGCCTTGCATATAGATATACGAATGAACATATATTGCCCGGCATCTTGGTTAAGATACTATAACCTTACGAATCGGACAACCTCCTCGCCCGCCTCAATCTACAAATAATGCACACCACAGACGCCATAACGTGGTCTGGTCTTGATGTACGACCTAAGGTCCATTTAACATCGAAGGATACTGCCTTCATCCTGGAAGTCCGAATTGCGAAAGTTATTAGACATAAATCTGAAATATGATAGAATTTCATTGGGTAACACGATGCAATTGCAGGAAAATATTGATTGATTGTTTTCAAACAATCGAGAGGGATGTTGCATACTTCCGACCGAAGATGGCCGAGTCTCATCATCTGCTCATTGACACCAACTCGACGCAATGACTCTTGCGCTGAATATGTTGGAGATCTATACGAAACATTTCTTCTTGATCCAATCGCTTCATTGATTCAGGCGAGTGCCAACAATGTTACCGGCGACCAATATATAGCTTCAATGTTGGAGCCTATTAACTCGAACCGCCGAGCTGATAGATTGAGCGAGGAAATCTTCTTCTCAAAGATGTCTGGGTATTTGCCGTTCCTTCTCGGCCCCACAGGATTCATCGCCGCGGGGGGAAAAGGCAAAGGGAATTGCTTCAGCAGGCTTTTCTTCCGTCGGATATCTACATAGGACCTACGCAAGGGCCAGCGCCATTCTTCTTTTTATGTTATTCATTGTGGTGGAACGAGACGGGAAGCTGCACACCGCCCAGCATTTCATTCGATGAATCTTTTTTCCTTTCTGCAGATTATACACTAATCCGAATTTCTGGTTTGTACCACCTGTACTGATCTACAAATGGGTGATACTAATACATCGGCTGGGCTAGTACACCCATTCCAGAAACTGCAAGATTCCCGCATGTACTACCCCGGATTTTTGCACTGCAGGTAGCAGAGCAGCCCTGTGCATGATCTCACCAAATCAACGACTGACTTGGTTGATTAGAATGTTGTAATGCAATCTCAAGGAAGGGATGTTGGGACTTGTCAAATTTCATTAATGACTTCCACGGAGATTCGTAGTCAATTGATTCAATCAAAGCGGACATGACTCCATGTCTGCAATGGGCCGTCATTGATGATTGCTTCACTTGAAGTCTTTGGAACTCCCCGCATTCTTCGTAGGTACCCGTGGCAGAACCAGGTCTTCCTTCCTGTACCTGCAGTCAGTACATGATCGGATCTTTGAATGTCCTATCAAAATGAAGAAATTGGTCAGCTCAATACATCAGTCAAGAGAGTGAAATTGATATAGTATAACATACACTAGAGTATTCTGTCTTTCCTTGAACATCTCATACTCATTCATCATTTACATCTTTCTCTATTGTTGACTTTTTAATTGTAAGGTGTCTTGCTGATGAAAGTCTTTCCTCCCTTTTTTTTGGTTTGAATCCAACTTTGGTCAAATAAGATTATTTGCTTAGTCGTGATTTGCTTAGTTGTCGACTTGTCTACACAAATATCTTCAAAAATGGAAGGATCAAATGGCCCTAGTGTTTATCAACAAATTGTTTCTTCCCCAATCAATATTCACACCAATTCATCTGCCATTCTTCCTATTGTTGAACCTCATCAGTTTCTATCCAAGGTTCATACAAACGGTGATGCTTCAGTGGCCTCAGATAAAATTTACGATGAAATAGATGAGTTGAAATTCGAAATCAAAACTCGAGCAGCAACAGCAGTTGTAGTAGCGAACACTAAACCTACGAAGTCAAGAAGATCTTCTTTCTTATCAAAACTCCTCAATTTCCATCGGAACCCACCACGTTCAATCTCAATGCCAAATCACTGCCAAACCCTCGAGGAATCTTCGCAGAAAAATCCAGTTCCTCCCACTTCGCCAAAAACCATTGACGAAAATGATGTGTTTATGGAGGATTACCAAAATAACGACAGTCCTACAGCATCACGTATGGATGGTCAATTTCATGCCAGACCTTACAATTGGCCTCACGACGCTTCTTTGGATAAATCAACCACGGCGCTGGTCATTATTGACATGCAGAAAGATTGTGAGTCTCTTGTTTTCCTTCTCTCCTTTTTGCTTCTACACGGCCTATATGAGATACATTATGTGATATCTTCTCGTTCTTCACATACACATACACATCGACAGCCAATAGCGCATCGAGAAGGTTACTGTTGTTACTATACATATATTTCACCGCGAAAAAATATCTTAATGGACTGCATGCAGCCTTCTCTTTTCGCTTGTTATCAATTATTCTTGAACTCATACATATCCAAAACCATCTACTGATTCTACTTCACTACAGTTGCCTCTGATAAGGGATATTTAGCAAAGCAAGGCATTGATAATCAGCCAATCCTCGACATTGTTCCCAAAGTTCGCAAACTACTCAATGCCTGTCGAGCTAATGGATTCCCTATTTACCATACGCGCGAAGGCCACCGTCCCGATCTATCAACACTCTCCTCTCGTGAGAGATTTCGCTCAAAGAACAACGCGTCTGGCCTTGGTATCGGTGACATGGGTCCCCTAGGACGTCTCTTGATTCGAGGGGAGGAAGGTCATGAGATCATTGATGAATTGGCTCCTCTAGATGACGAGCAGGTTATCGATAAGCCTGGTCGGAGTGCGTTCCAACATACAGAATTTCGGCTCATGCTCAACATCAAAGGTATCAAGAACTTAATCATCTGTGGTGTAACAACGGATGTCTGTGTAACGAGCACAATGAGGGAAGCGAACGACAATAACTTTGATTGCGTATTGGTGGAAGACGCGTGTGCCGCTGGTGTCAATGAATACCATAGAAGTGCCGTGGAGTCAATTACCGAAGAAGGTGGAATTTTTGGCGCTGTCACAACCATGAAAAATGTTTTGGAGAAGCTGGGAACGATTATGGACCGAAGATGGAGTTTAGATATTATAGACTCGAACAAATCTTCTGAATTGATTGCTAGTCTGTTCGAAGACGATTCCGATACTTTTCATCAAAACCCAACACGGGCGGATCAATTAGGGATTGTAAAAGAAACTATCTCCAGCAACGATTGTTCATCTGGAAGGAGACCTCTGGAAAGGATCGAAAATAAAGAAATGGAAGTAACAAATTTCATTGACGACGGCACGTCTTGCCCACTCAAACTCACGCGATCATCGGGTCCGTCGCAGCCTATCATCACACGTTTGAAACGAGAACCTTCCTCTCGAGATCAAAGGAGCACTAGAGGCCTGGCTTATGTGAATCAAAAGGATGGAGGGACGCCTGTTGCGACCAAGTTTGGAAGCAACAAACTTATTAGAAATGTACCGTATTTGAGTGATACTGAGAATGAAGGAGATGGTAGGAATTCCAAAGAATTTAGACCTCATAGATTGGCTATCGATTTTACCAGCAGCAGTGACGACGAGGAAGATGAAGACCTGCCTGGTGGCGTCGTATTGGGAGGGGAAACACCCAGAAAGTTAAAGGTGCGAACACTTCCTATCAGATTGAGTCCTCGGAAAGTACCTGAACGAAAGGCTTTGAGGAGTAACGCTCCGAGTCCCAGCGCTGATGTGCATCCGATAGTACCAAAAGCTATTCCTTCAAGGTCCGCCGCTTCCACCACTCGGCGTGCTTTGAGATCTTTATCGGTCTCAGAGACACAAAAGACTGCTGCCTCGAAAGTTCAAGTTACAACTACGACGAGGAGGACCAGAAGTAGTAATAAAGAGAATCCTGATATTTCCACAGGATCTGCGGGTATAAAGAATATTATAACTGCAAATGTGGAAGGAAGCAAGGGAAAAAAGATTTCGAATGTTGATGCTACGAAGAAGAAATGGGGGTTCAAAACTGGGGTGTTGGGTTGGAATTAGGGTGAGGGATTCTGTACGTGTTTTGAGGCAGCGTGTGATAGCATTAGTTAGGGGGTGATCTTGTGGAGGTGGGTTTTCATGGTTGGCTGGCAGCCCTTGTTGACTGGATTGCTTGTTTTGTGTATATTTGGCTTGGTTTGATCAACGTTATTCGGACTACTAGTAAGAATAGTATGTTTTAAAGTAGTACTTAGATATAAATCCGAACACTATTATCATTGTTAAAAATGTGAAACCATTGCGTGAAGATCTACATGAGATGATATAAATAGGAAATTGATGTCGAGGATCTATAACTATTAGTCTTAGTACAAGAGGATTCCTCTGAGAGAATCTCGTTTACGTTAATGTATGAGTTAAAGAGACCAGCAAAGGAAGTGGATTGTAGTACAGGATGCCGCTACCTACCACCCACAGCTTTGGGATCAGTCTTGTAAATGGGAACGCTATTTTTGTTGCCAGTGGCCAGCTGTCCTTCGTATAAGCTGTTGGATTTGGGGTTTGGATTGGCACGAGAAGACTTCTTCTCATAAATGAAATGGTCATGGATGTCCTTTTATTTAGTTGTGTAAATCGCCATGGGTAAACACCCGAATTTCGTTACACTAGTCATGACCTTGTGAAATCTTGCCAAATCGCTTGGTCAGTGGCTTGGGATTGTAATTGTTCAGATTTTGGATTTCAGTAGAGGTTCGGATACTGTGAACGGGAATCGGCACTATCGCTACTTTTTGTATTGAACGAGTCTAGGAAGATGGATCCTCAATATTGGTCTTTTGTTTCATGATCAGCCATGGTGGTGCAAGCCAGATGGTAGGTACATCGAGCTGGTCTCTGATTTTTGGACTTGCTGTGATGTTTCGCCAAATTGTTCGTTAGCTTTAGCGTTATTCTTATCACTAACGAGTACATGAATCTGGACGAATACTATAATTGAAAAGTGAGGAAGTTGAGCAGGAAAAGTTGTCAGAACACTTATATGAGATATGATCGCACCTTATCATTTTGGTGAAGGGTAGTCGGAATGAGATACGATAACATAGATGCAGCGGCATTCGAGGCAATATCGTCAACTGCCATATTACGTGACCAAGCTCCATCTGCCATCATCTAACCAAGATTTCATAATTCGCAACACCATTAGCAAGTGTGTCTGTACTTATGATGCCAATAAAGAAGTTTCCCACAGAAGCTTGTGCGCTATATACCACCCCACTTCGTGACGACGTTGTCCACGAGCTTGTCAAAGCCGGTCACTTCGTTTATGATACTCAGAGTTTCTTCATTGATCTCGGTAGTCAGTTAATGTGATTACGTAGTTTGGGTTAATAATATGCTCACACTGATTCTTTCCCGCAGCCAATATCTGCTCCGCTACGTCACCTACTCGAGTATGTCAAATCCCATTTGATTTGCGTTGATTTTACTGAGGTAGTATTGGCTATTCTGAGATGCCTCGTATGATGGAGGCTTGCCAGGTTTTAACGCATCTACCGCAAGCGAGTTTACGCTTCCTGGTCACGTTTTCGCAAAAATTTGGCAGCTACGATTGGTAGAAGAAGCTTCGACATGAAATCAAGAATTTCAGTAGCGCTCATCGCAGGCTTTTCGTATTGTATGAAATCTGTAGCAAGGTTTCCCGCTTCAGCAAAGCCATCAAGTTATGCTTTGGTCAAAGCACTGTCAACTGTTGCATAGACTGTATGACAAGTCATCAGCCCGTATACGAATTTCCGCAAATACATCTCTAAATTATAGTAGAGTCATAAACGTACATTGTTTATCCATGAGAAGCTATCGAGAATCATCTTTCCAGTTGGTCCCTAAGTGGGATCCTGCCATTGTAAGGTACTCTTATCTATGGTACTATGTACCAAGAACCGTACACAGGGGTAATCTGACGGATCATATCCAAGATACTCGTTGGAACTTCGATCGTCACTGCAGTCAAAGCTACTAATCATCTGTTTCGAGAAATTCGGCAATAGATTGTGACAGGGAAGAGTAACGATCATGCGAATTCATGCGATGATCCCAGACAATGGCCTCGATAATTTGTGTTGTTAGCATTCTATCACTCGATCTGCTGTTTTGAGCCCTGAAAAGAAGATCCTTTGTTGGTAAAGGAACGACTCATTGCTTGATCATGTTGGATATAATCACTTCCTTCCAACAGTAAGAATCAGTCACAGTAGGAGACTACTCCTCATATGTGGATTACGAATCAAGTGACCACCGATTTACTATTTTTGATTTAGTTGAAATTGAAGCCTAAACAAACTAGACGTGACAATGGGTTGTGTGGTTGAGTGCTCAAAGGGATTTGTATGTTCAAGGGACTACACGTAGCCATCATATACGTTCCTGCGAGCTGTTCTTGCTACCGAAAGTTGGGACCCAAGGTATATGATAAGAAACAACTTGGAATTGCTGGTCATCCAGAAAATAGTCAAGAGGAGATACGAGACATGTACAGTACTGTATACTTTAGAGATCGATGGCGCATTTCAATCTGTCACGCTCCCATTTGTGATTTCAACCAAGCATTTGCGCAATCCTTCAACATACTCGAGTAGTCATCAATAGGATCATATCTGTTCCCGTATTCACAGTGAACTACTCATTCAATTCAAAATAGAGATGTGTTTATTCGGAATTTAGCCATTGGCTAAGGAGCATTGGAACCAACTGTTGGTAACGGTGGCAGGTATCTTGATGAGCAAACCATTCATTCTCTTAATGTTTGATATTCGCATCTTACTCGAGTACAATCTTTCATGTTACTCTGGAATTAGCCAAGAATACATCTTAACGTCCCATGACTACGGAAACGAACGAAGATGGCGTCGAAACTACAAGACGAAGTGGACAGAGAACGATACGGAAAATTCGATTATGCAATATTTGTGCTGTCTCGGAAGCTGGTCGAAGCATCCTCGAGCAAGCAAGTTACTACTACCAAAAGCACTATAATGTGCAATAGGGAGCACTAGAAATGACTTACTTTGAAGAAAATTAGCCAGAAGGTTGTCTACCTGTTCAAGTGAAGTCAGGTTGTATGAGACGTTTTCTCTCTGGTTTACAGTCCCGTTGCAAACGATTGCATAAACTATGTCTGGTCAAGCAAGATCTCCTTTCGATTGAGTGATCCGTTTATCTCCATAGATCGCCAATTCTAGAGCTCAAGCCTATGCTCGAATGATAGCCTCTTGTTTCATTTCATCCTTACTTGCAGAATTTGGGGTGAGATAGGACGAATCAATAACATCTGCTATTGGGTTGAAGACATATGCCCCGGGAGGAATTGTTGCTCGTTTGGTGAAATTTCTCATAAGTATGGACCCTAAAGGTATGGACGTTCAACGCTATATTAAACCAGATATTCGGACTTTAATATTGAAGTTGTGGTGTATCTATCAACTTCACTCGCTGATGTAATAGCAGGAATGTGGTTCTAACAAGTGAAGACCCATCCCGTTGACATGTAATGATCATGACGTCATTCACGGTGTGGAAAGCTCAACCACAACCCATCAATTAGGTCAACGACACAATCAGAACAGTTAGTTACAAGCTTATTCATATCATCATGGAGCCAGCAGCCGTAGCAGCCGCAGCATATGGGATCGAAACAGCAATTGAAGGAGGAGTCGCAGCCTATTATCTATCCAAACCAACACTACCGCTAAAAGGACATCTCGAACATGTGACGACCACCGATACATTACCTCGATCTGGCCATACGCTCTCTGTGATAGGTGATAGAGCATATATCTTTGGTGGTTTTGGGGCTTGGGGTCGTGAACCAATTAACAATGATATCCATGAACTTCACATCTCCACCGACGAAAATATCGGAACTGCGATTTTGAGATCAATACCGGCGGTTAGGGATGGAAGAGAAAAGAAAATAGGTACTGTGCCATTGGCTCGTTACGATCATTCGGCCACTGTTGCTCGAAACTTTATCTTCATTTTTGGTGGCAGTGGATTTTCACCTGACGAAGGCAAGCCTTTGAAAGAACATGGTCGACTATGGATTTTCGATCCCCTATCATCAAAATGGTCGTTCCTTGATTCTCCACCAAATACACCATTCCCATGTAACAGAACGAATCAGATCAGCACATCGAGTCTCGATGGATCTGCAGTTTTCATCCATGGGGGATTATCATCTGATGGGGTATGTTTGAATGACCTATGGGTGTTCTACTTGGAGGAAGGAAAATGGTCCAAACTTCCAGATGCTCCAGGGCCACCGAGGAATTCTTCCAGTCTTACATGTGGACGGGGAAAGTTATGGAGATTTGGCGGTTGCGAGGATTCGGACGATGCAGATTCAAATCCTCATGGATCAATCGACTTCCTGGAATATCCTACTGGTGGAACTCTGGATGATGTAAGTGAGAGCATGGTCCAAGGCCATACGAGCAATCTCAAGAGCACTTGTCAATGGGAGACGTGGGATGTCGACTCAAGCAAGACGTCGGAGATTCCTTCCCCTCGCTCTTCTGCAGCTTTACATTTCATAACTACCGGTAATGGTAGGGACTATCTTTTATTGGCTTTAGAAGCCGATGATAGAGAGGTATTGTCGGATATTTGGATCTATCAACTCCCTCCCGCGCAGTATTCTAGCGCACAGATGAAAGATGTCATTCGGGAAAAGTTACCTGGTGTAGAAAGTCATAGGGGTGACTGGTCTCGTCTGCAAATTAGTGGGATAGAGGTCGGTGCAGATGAAGAGAAAGGTGGAGCATGGACTGGTAGACGTCGTTTTGGTAGCTCGATGACGGGCACGAAACAATTTATGATTTGGGGAGGGATTGGTCCAGGGAATGAAACGCTTGGTGATGGATGGAGAGTTATTATTGATTAAGTTAGGTTGGATGGATGACACAGATGGAAATGGGACGCTGGTTGCTTAGTTGTCAATGGGGTAATAGGATTTCAAGCAAGGGAAAGAATTATGGGAAAGATGATGAGTTGAAAAACACTTTTATTGGGGGCAATTGATACAAGATTTCATTGGGAAACCAATTTATCTAAAGAACCAAAAGAGATGTAGGGGACTTCTACGTAGCACTTATTAACAGGAACCACATTTTTTTAAATTTCTAGACGTAAGTCGTTAAAGGTAGATTGTAGTCATAGACATCAATCTTTAAAAGTGAAATCTAGTCATAGCCTATCCATAAAATCACTCAGGCGGGCGCGGGCCATGGGCGGACGACACGTTTTTTTGCTCTGCAGGTGCTACGAGCCAATTCTTGGAACCAACGCGCAATACAATCATGATGAAAAACATGCAAACCACAAAAAGCTCGACCAATCCCATTGAGACCACATGCTTCCGGGTCTCGCAAGGTTTGCCAACAAATAACACATTTCTCGTCGTGCGCTACCTCTGCAGGAGAGACGGGCGCAAGAATCGCGGGATTGATTCTTTCTCCCTCGAATAGGCAATGATGCTCTTCTTCTACTTCCATGTGTAATACCGTCTGTCTGAGTTCACCGAGGGTAAAGTTCATTTGCAAGAAAAACAGGCGTCGATTGCAGTGACGAGTCTCGTAGTCCTGTTCAAGACTGATTCTGAGACGAAAAGGCCAATTCATCGGGTCTCGCATGTATGTTGTGAGGTTGTCATGCGCGGTATTGGCTGCCCGTTCCAGGATCTCTTGTCTTGCAAACAGGCATCTTTGCAGTTCAATGTAGCTCGCCCAACAATGTCGACGTTGTTGAATCTCGATTGGGTGTATTGCAACTCCGCCGAATGTGCTGCTTAACTCAGATACATATTCCGATTCTTCGAACATGTCTACGTCCCAGCCTTCGTCTTCATCGTCGACGCAGAATTTGCAAATTGTTGTGTCTTCGATCTTGGCTAAGGCGAAGTGGTACCTGTCACAAAAAATATGTTCGAGGTTTTGTCCGTGTTCGTGTTCGTCTTTGCCTCCGTCAGGAGAGTATGGATTTCTATCGAATTCACCACAATTGTCATAGTTATGTTCGATGTGTGTAACGACGTGCCCACAGATTGTGTGAAATGTTTCGTTGAAAACACAACTTGTTGAAATGGAATCCATGTTGAGTTATGGTGTGAGATGTAATGGAGCGAATGCCGTCAACAATTCGGCGGGTAGTCTGACTTTTCTACCTGGGCAGAAAGCATTGTTTGGAGCGCGAATCAGGTATCTAATGTTCACACATTGTCCTTGCGATTATTCTTGCGGTTGTCCTCGATATGTTTAGATCAGTGTGAACAATGTCAAAATAATAACACATATTTTTTGGTAGATTCGAGGCGGCTGCTAAAGCGAGTCTCATGCTATCATAGTGCACCGCCATGCGGTATGGACATTTTCCGAGTTTTCCTCACGCAGCGTCCTCACCGGGGATAGCATTCATGTAATGAAGTTCCTCTAGACTTGTATATAAGTACAGAATCGTCAACTTTGAGATTCATGTAGCAGATATTCATTGGTATAGAAATGCATTTGTTGTTGACGAGAGACAAAGCTGTTGTATACGTGACAAAAGAAACAACTTGTTTATTTCTCCACAAGTTATCTGTACTCGGATGATTATCGCCTAAGTGTGGCATCTGACTAAGCCAAGCTGATCAATGACAATTCGAGTTTTTTTTTTGTTCCCTTCCTTTTGCTGCCTCTGTTGGACTTTCGCACTTAGCAATTATAATTATTAAATTCATCATCTCTTCATGATTTTATCTCTTGCTTCCGTACTACTGCAGCTCACCGATCAATCAGCAATTATATCTCGAAAAACAGGCCATAAGTGCATAAATCAGGCTGCATTTAGTAGGCACAGCAAATGTTACTTGTGTGCCTGTAAGCCCAGTGGTGTGATTTTCCAAGCGTAGTCACGGTGGAAATACCCGATGGCCAATGATATTGGATATGAATGTTTCTGATACTTTAAGATTTTGTTTGGTTTGTGTATATATATATATATGTATTCTTGATGGCCAGCCTGGGTGTGAAATAATATTTCATTGCACTTATCTTGTAGCATCAATGACAATACAACTACAACACGATACATACACAAATGTCACAAACAACACCAGAATCACATTCCCCCACAGTCAAATCAACAACCATGCGTCCAGCACCATTAATGAGAGGCTACTCAGACATCATGAACAGCAGCGAAAACCCCTCCGTCGAGCTCCACGGCAACGGTCAAAAAGTTACCTTCCCCCAGGAAAACGTGGGTGCACATACTCTCTGGAAGCAACAATCCTCAACCACCGTCCCCATATGGCATCTCCGAGTCAGCGTTCTCAAGAACGGCGATGCGCGCGGCGATTGTCCTAATCGTATTTTTGTAGGTGTTTTTCCTGTTTTCGTCGTCTTACCTTACTCATTGGCGTGCACCTCATCGACCCTCACATCACTAATACACCCCAGGCATTCCAAACCCTAGAGCACGTCACGCGCGCCATGCAGCAAGTGGAAGACGCCTTTGGAAACACGTTTGAGTTGAAGAAGTGCGGGATAGATTCGCCGGATGCGATGGGTGGGAGAGTTAATGATGGGAGGAGTGAAAATGTGACTGTGGAATTTGATGAAGGGGTGACGACGGAGTCGTGGGGGGAGTTTTTGGGTAGGTTGAAGGGGTTGCAGGATGGGTGGGCGAATGCGGTTGAGGTTGAGGTTGAGGGTCTTTGAGTTGGGTGTGATGGGCTGTGGTGTAGTGTGGGGTGAGGAGATGAGCTGGCCCGGGGAGAGAGAATGAGAAATAGATTGAGAAAGATGATTTGAATGACAGTGTCAATTGTGGGTCAGGGGGAGTTTAGGAGCTAAAAACAACTGGTCTGGATTTGAGTGAGCGATCTGAAGTTGTTAGAGAAAATATAGTGGGAAAGATTGCATATTTGAATTTAAGATGGAATTCTTATCTGATATGAGACATCTGATGTATGGGAGATCGGACTGAGTAAATTTGCCGATACATGGATGCTTGTTTCAGATCATCAGGGTTGCATTTTCCTCCCATCCCATCCCATTCAATTCAACAACTCTTCGAAAATATAAAGGGTTGCAACTACATATGGAGAAAGTTCTCTGTAGAATCAATTATGATGTCCATTTCTCGCTTTCAATTACAATTTTCAAATACCCAGTACCTCAAAGTCACGGTATAGAAATATATCGATGGTCTATCTACATCGCATTGAGATCCATCGCATAAATTCACGATTTTTATCTGAAACCTGCAACGAAGAAAGCTTTGCTCTGCTTTGTATTATTTTCGGAAAAAGTACTTGATATCAATATTCAGACATCGGTATGCCTTTATTGGGATGTAGTGGGGTATAATCGTCTGATGCTTCTTCATCCGGTTGCTTCAGATCATTCTATCTAGCTAGGTATTGGTTTCCTTGATAGTAGTTGTTCTGTTCCTTGATCATTTTATGTCTTGCAGCTTGCGGCCAAACCGATATTCATCTCACGATATCTTGTCGTGAATATTGATTGAGTGATCAAGATTCCGTCTGTCATTATAATTCATCTAATCAGATTGTCCTGGTGGCGAATAATATAATATCTCTTTTTGGAAATGGACCTAACATCCCGCATAACGAAGACCATATCATGGTCAACCCATCAGGCCATCGCCAATCCATCACCACCTTTTCGTAGGCAAGCCCCTCCCACAGATTGTTCTCAGGCAGAACAAAGCGCATCGCGGGTTTCCCAACAAGCCTCACAATCCATCCAGCAAGCCAAACAATCGGCATCACAAGCAGTCCAACAAGCATCCCAATCGGCTTCGAATTCCATCCAGCAAGCCAATAATAGTGCTAGTCAATTGATAGCTGCTGCTTCTCGAAGCTCTTCAAGTGTAGTGAGTAGTGCGAGTTCGGCAATGCAGAGTATACAAGCGTCGGCTAGCTCGGCGGTGGCGAGGGCAAATGGGGCAATGCAGAGTGCGCAGTTTACGGCGAGCTTGTTGCAGGTAAGTGAGACTTGTTCCGAAAAATATGTTTATAATCAGGGTATCCAATAGTCCAGACTGCAGTCCAACAATAAGATATTCTTGATTCCTGAATATATCTCAAATATTGAAACTATTTCAATCATTAAAAATATTTGAAATATTGAATTTCTTGAAATAATTCAATTGTTTTCAGAGATTAATGATATTTCGAACATTGGAAATGCTTTAATTGGACTACAATCTGGACTATTGGAGACCTGGTGTATATTCGGATTTTGACCAGAGCGAAATTGGGTTACTAACGTTGAAAATTATAGCAAGAAGTTTCGAAGGCGGAAACCACTGCAGCTGTGAGTTCTTTTCTCACACCTTTTGCCCATATTCTCTAACTAAGAAGTTCCAGGCAGCAAATCGACACACTGAAGAATCACAAAATGCCGCCATTACCGCGACACAAGCTGCTTTAGCGATAATAGGAAGCATCATCGCTTCAACTCTACTGACCATGCTAGTTTTCTGGTGCATCATAAGATACAGGAAGAAGAAATTGGAAGAACGGAGGACAGACAGAAATGAGAGACATGATGAATACAATGTCGACGAAAAACCACCTGTCCCGAGAATACATGAAGGTGAACGAGAAGACTCACGGAGGGATATGTTAGGGCCACAACGTATGAAATCGACCGCCACGGTTTCTTCACTAAGCTCGTCTGATTCATATGCCAAAGTAATGCACGATGGACAAGACGGATATGAGAAGGAACCGACGATGAAAGAAACATATTTAGAGTGGAATCCCAAAGATCCTCCCAAAGCACCAACTCTCAGTTCTTGGTTACAGGTTGGGGTCAAAGATGGGGTGTCACCTTTCGCCAGTGGTCCAATCAATTTACCGATATCTGGGGACAACGACGGAAAAGGACCATTGGACGGACAGCTGAGATCACCGCTCAGTACAAATCGAATGAGAAGTCCGAGGATACCAATTAACATTTCTTCGCCTGCTGTCATATCAACAATACCAGACAACAAACAGAGTATATACATTCAATACGACCAAGACATAAGCAAGAAATCAAGAAACGAGACTCAGCCAACAGCAGACACCGAAAAAGAAAGTATATGGACGAACGACACACGAAGCTCAACCTTGCGCTCCGAATCCGCACTCGAACACCAAGGATTCAAAATGGTCTTTCCACAACCCACACAGCCCATACGCCAAACGGCAGAATGGTTCATGGAACAACAACAAGAGCAACAGCAAAACGAAATCCCAAAAACACCAACACAAAACCAACATTATATCCGAGAGAGTCTACTCACAGACACGGATTCTCCATCGACGACAAAAATGTCGAGGATTAACATGAATGCGCAGCCCAAAACACCGAAACTTGGGGTCGGGGTTAGTATTAAAAGTATGAAGGGGGAGGTGCATTATGTGAATTCGGTTAGGAGCGCGAAGAGTTTGAAGGGTTTGAAAAGCGCTGTTTCGGGTGCGGGTACCCAGTCTGAGGGAAAGACGGGAAAGACGGGAGGGAGTGCTGATGAGGGGCGTAGAGGAGAGGAAGTGGAGCGTGTGAGAAGGTGACGAGATGATTGGGTTTTCTCCTTGTGTTTGAGTTTGAAGAGTAGGTTGATTAACTGTAGATTAAAGGGGAGGGGTATGTGATAAACTGGAAGACTGGAAGTAGTTTGAACACACGATGATGGTTAAGTGATGGGAAAATTTGGTTTCTTGAATTAGGAGCAAGAAATGAAGGATGTAGTGACTCGGAATAGATTTTATACCAAATGTTTTCCTATCAAAAGGCATTTGTCAAGTCCTCCAGATATACACCGTCCGCAGACCCAACAGAGGGACATACATCTTGCGAAAATCGGTTGAAGTTCAAACTTTCAAACCCCATCCTCAAATACCTAAAAGTGAGTGTACTCGAGTATATATGAAGGGGTATTGAAGTCGAATAATCATGCAAATCCAAATAGATATATCCTCTATAGCTATGGCTCCCCTTTGAACAGGGAAATCATATCTATCTTATAGGTTATATACCGGAAGGTTACTGATATACTCGAGTATCCTTACAGCTGAATAACCTTACTCAGTCGAGCATTTCGTTTCGTTTCGTTTCGTCTCGTGAGACGACGTTAGGTATACAACAGGATTCTACTTGCGATCAAGCCGGAATTGAGATGCGGTTTGAGGTGCAGAAAGTAAGTTCCTTCGTGAATGATGAAATACTGTACCGATAAGTACTCGTCTGGAAATATTAGAAGTCGCCTGGTGCTGGCTGGTGGGCTGGTGGGTGAAGGATTACAGTACGGTTAAAGTCAAGCTTTGGCGAATAGCCGATGAGCCGAGGCAGGCCTATATGCCCTGCTCTGTACCTATTTACGGGGTAATGGAATCCTGTATCTTATCCAAAATCTGATATACCGGTACACTGAAGTAGAAAATGATTACATTGCTATCGTTGTTTAGATTCCGGAATCTGGGGTTGTCAAAGATCCCTAAATCTAATTTGATGAACTTATTTTTAGTACAACACCAGTGTGTTACTGTAATAGCGTGAACTAAGATGCTCCATTCGATTTGTGATGGCTATTGGTCTCTCACATGAAAGTACCGGCATGTCGCACATCGAGTCAGTGTTTAGTGATCCGGGCGCTTTTCAATACTGACTGTACCTCGTGTTAAATACTGTATCCAACAAATGTCCTCAACACCTTCTAAGGTTATTATTGTCCAGTAGATATTGAAAATACCTACTCGAGTAATCACACATTGATGTCTCTATCAATCATAGCCATCATCAAATCGCTCATCTGCGAATTGCTTACCCACAATGGGTAACTGCCTCGTCCGTCTGCAAGCCGAAATGCTTTCACCCCCTCCAAATTCCGGGAATTGGGAGAATCTCGGTCCTCGAAAAGTTCTTCTGGTTAATTCGCAACATGCACATATGAGGAGCAAGAGTGGAAATGGGATGGGCGGCAGTGCAGAGTGCGAAAAGGGAATGGGGGTTCCGTTGGGAAGAAGGGAAACACCGAGTGGTATTGAGGGATTGACGTTTGATTATGCTGGGAGACCTGTGTAAGTCTCTCTTATCTTAAGCGTTGAAAGCTTGATGGATGGGATGGGATGGATGGATGGATGAATCGTTTTTGTTGCATGCATGGACTGATATCGTGGTTTGCGGAGTTCTGTAGTTGGCGAGATCCGAAATCAAAGACGATTGATTCTGATGATAGCGATGTGACGAATGGTAAACATACAGAGGAGAAACGGGGGAATTTTGGGACCTGAAATCGAGGCAGTTGAGATGGTAAAGGCTGGTTGGATGGCACCTCGATTATGATATATTCCATTTCACCTTGGTACATAGCGTTGTTTTGGTCAGGGCGTTTGTAATTACGGTCATAGGTTTACCGGAACATTTCTTTCCTCCTACTTCATTGGTTCTATGTGTTACTGTTGCTGTTTTTGTTGTTTTTTGTTGTTTTTTGTTGTTGTTATTTTATGTGTTACATGCGTAAATCCCTTCTTTTGAGTCAGTCTGACACTTTCACCTAGATCATGTATATAAAAGCGCAGCGCGCATCAGTCACAATCATCGAGTGAGCTATTCTACATGATTTTGAGATGAAATTACTGCTGAAATAATTCCAAAGACATTCAATCTATTCTAAATGTCACCCCATCCAATCACCACCGACACCGTTCAAAAATACAATCAATAAGGCAAGACTTTCGACACACGCTGTCTAATGTCTCAAAAATCAGTCCCTAGATATTTGATCATGTCTCTCCTGAGTCACTAAACATCACTAGCAGCAAGTATCGCCGGTTGCTCCAAAATATACGCCGGACCAGCAACCACAGAAGTTTCTGTAGCCGCATCCACCTCATCAGCAATAACCACCAAAATCAAGCCCTTCAACTCCAGATTCACCGGGAAAATTGCACTCTTAGTAGCAACATCAAACGGCACCGACACGACCTCCACCCCATGAAAGAAGACCGCATAATAATTATTCCCCTCCTCAAAATCCGGCACCTCACTCCCTGTACTACTCTTCTCATACCCAAACACTACATCCTTCCCCGGCACAATCGCTCCCAAAACCTCCAACTGCGGCAACTTCAGACTCGGAAACGGATACTCCGGATTAGCAATCGGACACGAGTCCTTCACCACAAATCGATTCGTAGAATCCAAAATAAGGTTCGCATACGGAAAACTCGTATCAATGGGCCCAGCAAACGGACTCACGCCCCACACCTCACACAAAGCCCACGTCGCATGACGCGTTTCCGTCTCTCCAATCGCCATCAACGCACCCTTCGTGACATTCATGTTCGCTTGCTGCACCAAACCCGCTGCAAACGCCATACTGGAAACCTCAATCAAGATCTGCAACGCGAGAAATTCAGCCGCGGTGCTCCAGCCGTAATCGTAGCGGCAGTGTCCGGGTTTGAGTGAAGTGGCAGAGATGGAGTCTTGGAAGATGCGCAGGTGCCCGGCTTCGTTGTCGCGGATTTCGAGGAGGCGGGTGTAGGTTGTGTTGGGGAAACCGAGGGTGGTGAAGGAAGTGACGTTGAGGCGTTCGATGGCTTGTTGGTAGAAGGTATAGATGGCCCATTCTGCTGCTAGCAGATTTTGAAACAGCTGGTCGTCGGGTCCGGGGGGTCCGCGAGCGGTGGGGTGGATGGGGTGCGTGTAGTTTGCGGGGAAGGGAGCGGATTTGCCACGGTATGAACTGTAGTAGTTTGTTTCGCTGGGGATGGGTCCCCTTGATGGATCGGAGATGTTGAGGGTTGTGGGGAGGGCGGCAGATAGACTCGCAGAGATTAGGAGAGAGAAAAGAGTGCCTTTTGACAGCATTTTGAGGACTATGATTTGTAGGTATGAATTGGATTTAAAAATTCTGTGAAGAGACAATGCACTATTGGTATCAAAGATCGATATTGAAAATCAACATGAAGAAACCCATCTTATATACATACACACAAATCTTCCTCACACAGAAAGAATCCCCCATTTAAACATAACATGTAAACGTGTAAACGTGTAAACGTGTAAACGTGTAAACGTGTAAACGTGTAGACACAATCCCCATCCATCCCATAAGTCAAAATCCTCAATCCCCATCAACGAGCTGCTAACTCAACTAAGTATACCGATCAACTAACCTTACTGCAAAGAAATCAAAGAAATCAAGAAATCTCACCACCAGCATCTTCGCCAACTTGCATCTTCACCGACTTGCTTACCATACTCGTAAACGTAACTGACTACTCACGTACAGCGTACAGCCGCAGAGCATTGTCCCACACCGACGCCTGCTACTGTATGAATTTGCGAAAACTCTATTCCTATTCCCATCCTAATAACCAAAAACGCGCACTCAACTTAACTCATCACAATAACCTTACCCTCCTCCTTTCCTAACCCCCTACTCATAGAAGAGAAAACTCAAAATCTAATCATATCATCACATCACATACTCGAGTAGATATGTAGATATCCAAAGACGAAAAGAAAAGTACAGTACCAATCATCCATAATCCTAACCCCTTACTCCCACCTCCAGCCCCACTCTAACCCTCAACCTCAGCCTTACCACCCGCCATTTATCGCCACACAGCACCACACTACGCCACGCTACGCCACGCTACGAGCTCCTAACAACCAACTAACAACTTCTCAATTACCCAAAGAGGTAAGTGAATAACCATCACTACCGGTACTTACATTTCAGCTGAGTTTGAGTCTTATACAATCACATTCGTCATGCTACACTGGAAGTAGTTACCTAGTAATTATCCTAGTTAATTTATTTTATTGACTACCGGTACCGGTACTCTTTTATCTTTGACAATCCTCCGTAATCCTACCTACCAATGCAGCATTTCGTAAAATAACATGGCTAAGTGAAGTCACAAATCAATATCAATGATACCGTGACCACAATGTGAGAGCAACATTATACATACAATTGAAAATAATATACTATAGCTCATTTATATCGTATCGTATCATATTAATCAACCAGGACCAGAAAGTTTCGCTAGTAAACGATTCACTGCAAAATAACAACAAAAAGATTCGCTAGTAAAACATATCACAGCAAAAGTAAAGAAATTTAGTACACCTCTCGCCCATCATAGCAACATAATAACCTTTCCTTCCCGCACACCGATTTTGGTATAAAGCTACCTCCCAGCCCCACCGACCAGCCAAGCCTGTCTCATTATTCATTAGACCAACTCCATCATTTGATGCCTTCCAATGCCCTCTTATGGATCTACTACCGCCACAATGGCCATCTATCTCATTACAATTCATCCTTTTTCCCAGCAGCTTTGGTAGCCTCCCCAACAACACTTCCCACACTACTAGCCATTTGCTCAACTCCCTCGCTTGCTTTGCTAAGGGCTTCATTCCCACCTTCCCCAACATTTGATGCAAATTCAGTCAATTTAGCACGCGCTGACTCAACGGCGGCATTCAGTCTCGATTGTGCACTCTCCACTGCTCCTTGTTCATGGCCATATACAGCTTCCGAGACCTTAGCTTGAGCAGCTGAGTAAGACTCGGCAGCAGCAGACGTGGCAGATTGATAGTTGTCTGCGATAACCTTGGTTGCAGATTCGTAAGTGCCAGAAGGTGTCCCGTAGATAGCCTCTGAAATCGCCTTTTGAGCGGAAGCAGCGGCGTTAGAAATGGAAAGTTGAGCTTGATCCGCATATCCTGGTTGAGTACCATAGATACCTTCACTCGCGGCGCTAGAAGCGGATGTATAAGCCGAAGCAGCTGCCCCAGCAAATCTTTCATAAGCACCCTTTTCGGTACCATAAAACTGAACGCTGGCAGCCTCTACAGCCCCACTGAGTTGAAGGGAAGCGGCATCAAGAATTTCCTCGATTGCAGGAGGAGAGGTAAAAATTGAGTTAGCAGCTGAGCTAGCCGATGCATAAACCTCACTTGCGTAAAATGAAGCCGAAGAAACTGCATCACCTGCCCCAGTATAATAGGCCGAGCTCAAACGACTATAAACACTCTCGGTAAAATCTGGTTCCTTTCCAGAAACCAGCTCACTAATAAGTGATTGCACCGCCGAGTATTGGGAGACGGCCCCATCAGTAGCTTGTGCGGCATATTCTTGTACGTTCGAAAGGAAATTACCCGTGACAAAATATGGCGTAGGAGATCCATATACTTGATGACTGGCTTTCGTGATAAGGGCTTCCCAGTTTTCGCTAGCGACCGAAGCGAGAGATTCAGGAAGTGGTGTTTCGCTACCATATACGGCGGACGATGCACCAGAAGTGATTCCGTTCATTTTCTCGGCTAATTCGGAGGAGAGACTAGCGTAAGACGCAGAAGCTTTAGATGAAGCTTCATTATAACGTGTAGATGCAAGATCTGTAAATTTCGCGGCAGGAATAGCATCACTAGCAACATTGCCTACCTGGCTGATGACCTTATCAAGTCCTGCTTGGGCTTTTGCGACAGCACTAGAGTACCTTTCAGAGGCTTGAGATAAAGCGGCTTCGTATCCGGGAGTGGAAGTCCCTACAACATTGACACTAGCTCTGTTATAAATGCTCTGATGAAATGGCGTTTGAGTTGGCATGACAGCTGAAGATGCTGCCGCAAGAAACTCAGAGTATCGAACATGAGCTAGACCAATACCAGCGTAGTATTGATTTTGAGCTTGGGAAAGTAATTGTTGAGCTGCTGGGGTAGGTGTAGGGCCAATGTGACTCTTCGCAGCATCATATTGAGAAGATGCAGCTTTCAGGCCTTCGGAGAGTCTCGATGCAGCGACTGATCGGATAGATTCAATGGCACCTGTGGGAGCCCCATATACAGCGGTTGATGCACCGGAAATTGCTATTTGAAGTCTAGAACTAGCAGCGTTAACGGCATCGGAATAAGCATTTTCAACAGAGCTAAACATTTCCTGGTGGACCGGCTTTGGAGTTCCCGAAACTTGAGCCGAGACAACTGATTGTGCTTGTGAGTAGTGTTCAGATGCTCTCGATAGCGCATCGCTGTAGATTGCTTTAGCTGAGCTTGCAGCAGAATCGAGGATAGGTGCAGGTGTGCCATAGATGACAGAGCTTGCGCTAATTCAATATTAGTATACTTTCAAAACAACCACTAATAGGTACTGCCAAACTTACGCAGCAACGGCGTCCGCATAACGACTTGTAGCAATACTAGCGATGCTTTCACCAGTTCCAGGTTCCGTTCCATATAGGACTGCACTTGCGGCGGCTAAAGCACTAGAATATTGTTCAGCAGCAAGCTTAGTTACACTCTCCACAGATCCCTGTGTGCTGGTAGGCTTCAATAACGCTTCACTGACAGCTCTCGTCATGTCGCTGAATTGATCACCAGCCACACTTGCCATACTCTGTAGCTTCTCGCTATAAGTTTCCTCGTCAGAATCATCAATGACATCATCAAAGATAATTTGTCTTGCTTCAACGTGAGCAGCCATGGCCCCACCCCAAACTTTCTTTGATGCTGTGCTTGAAGCAGCTGAAGCAGAAGAGCTCAAGGAGCTAGTAGCATCGGTTGCACTCTTCGACAATGAGCTTGCAATAGACGATGATGCGGATTCAAGAGATTTTGATACAATTGAAGCTTCATCGGAGATCACACTGCTGACAGATGAGATCGATGAACTCGCCGCATCGGAAAGACTGGATGCAGAATTGGAAATAGCCGATCCTGCGGATTGAACACTGCTTGAGGCTTGACTAACCACTCCCGGTAGCTCGCCAATAACAGACGACGATGCTTTCATCGAAATACTTCCGGCCTTTTCAACAACGACTGAGCTGACACTTTCGATACTTCCTTGCGAGGTACCGATGACGGAGCTTGAAGCTTGATCAACAATACTGCTCGCTGACTCCTTAGCCAAAGATGCAATGCTCTCTAAGCTTCCTTGGGGTGTCCCAATCACACCTGACGAGATGGATGCAGCAGCCTCGCCAGCTACCGACGAGATAGATTCCAGAGTCCCTTGCGTGGTACCGGCCATAGCTTCGGTAGCCTCATTGATTTTCTCCATGACCTTTTGACCAGCGACTGCTGCAGCAGGTGGTATGAATTTAGTACTGAAATCATCACTGGAATCACCGGTTGATATCTTCCACTTTCCGGCTTCCTTGATACGAGCAAGTTCGACGGCAGCGTTCTCGGCAACACCCATCGCTTTACTTTCCACATCTTCGGATGAGGCTCGAGCTTTTGCAAGACCCGGGTGTTCGGTGACAACCTTTTCTACATCAAGTCGCCATTCTTCAAATTTACTCTTCAACGCATGGTATTTAGTCCAATCTTTATGAGTGATCCCATCAGTCCAAGCCCATCGCATTCCAATTTCTTGCAAACCCAAATCTCTTATATGGTCAATGATATCAAATGTGTCTTTGACCGATTTGCTAATAAGAGAGTTAGTCTCTGCATCGAAGCTTTGTCGCCAAGTTCGGACGGCTTGAGCTTTCTCCTTGATTGCAACTCCTGCTTTTCGAACGGCAGTGTTGAGGGAGTCCTCGTGTTCTTCGGCATTCTTATCGGACTTGACAATTGAAATGATGCTGGACTTAAGCGACTCGAGGTTTGATTTGACAGCCTCCTCCAATTCGATGATAATTGCAGATCCCACTTTGTTGGCTTGATTTTGAATCAACCTCTCGGTGATCTCGGTCACTCTCTCATCAATTTCGTCGGCACCCTCATCTGCAGCCTTGGAGAACTTTTCTTGCCAGGTTCTTAGATCTTTGGTAACAACGATTCGAGCATTTTCTCTAATCTCATGTTCACTTGAAGGAGTGCTTGCTGGCGTTTCGGTAGAGAAAATAGAAGTTGAAGATTGAATGGAGGTTGAAGGTGCACTTGTAGCGTGCGCAGATGAGATGGAAGAAGATATTGATGAGAACGTGGAAGAGGCAGAAAAAGCAGAACAGGAACTGAATTTGCGTAAGTTTAGGTCTATAGCTACATTTGACGAACTCACGAATCGACACTGTCTACCACAGCCTGTAATTTCTTGCCATCTCTATATCTGCCTAATCTCTCACCAATTCGAACCAATTGTGGCTCTACGTTCTCGCCGTATAAGATCCTCAATTTAGGCCAGACCTTCCTGTCCAAAAATACCCCAGTCGAGGTTATTGCCCACTTCGTGTAAGGAATTCCAGTCTCTACAACAAAATCGTTCGTATATCTATAACTCTGAATAACATATGGCTGTACAGTGTTGAAATTTGGAACGATATGTTCATGGTATGTTTGCAAAACATTCGACTTGGCCAAATCGAGATATGGTTGACTCGCTGCACTAACTTTGTTCCAATGAGGAGCCAATGTTTGATCGTATTTAACCCTCGCCAGAGTCTTGTACTTCAATACCTCTGGCTGCAAAGTTTTCTCCCATTGTGCTTGACCATATGCTTGTGCTTGTGCTACTTTCGGGGCACCATATTTCATACTCAAGGCAGTCACAGGCGTAATCACTCTCTTGTCGAGTGATTCATAGTAAGGCTTCGCGACATTCACATATGGTGCGGCATATGAATTGTAATATGGTTCGAGATGAGGTACAACTATTGATCGTAGTTGAAAATATGGTTTGCAGATCTGAGGGGAGGTATCCGTGACGAGGTCGAAGGATGAAGGACATCGCAGTAATATTGTGATTATCGAGTACCATGTTAAGATTCTGAAGGTTCATCAGTAATTGATAAATATGAAGAGCATGATGAAGCATAACATACCGTGTAACAATGCCAAAGATACCAGAACTTCTCTTAGTCTTCCTTTGATTCTTTACTACCGGCAATGTCGGAAGCACAGCGTGGCCATTTCCATTGATGCCATTTGCTTTCGACTCCACCACCTTTCCATTGCTATCGGCCGCCATCTTCTACAGCATGTAGATTGTATTGAAATTTCTTCGTTGCTATCAATGTGATAATTTTTATGATTGGTGAAGGGTTTTATTGGGTTGGTAAGATGTAACAATGTTACCAGGTAGTAAAGTGGGAGAGCTTTGGCGAGAGTGTGTTGGTTGTGGTTGTTATGGTGATTTTGATCTGTGATTTCCAAGGTCTGAAATCTGATGTGCGCCAAGACTTATGGGTAGTATCTGATAATGATTAATGACGAAGGGATTAATAATAAGGGAAGGGTGAAAGAGAGAAAGAGGTTGATGTTTGTTGATACATTTTTGGTATGATTGAATAACGAAGTTTCTTGTTAGATATTCCTTTTCTTCTCTTTTCTATGGCAATTTATTATTATTTCTTACAGCAGATGTCATCTAGGTGAGTGAAGCATATAATTGGTCTTGTTTTAAGTGAAAGCTTTTAGACCTAGGCCACACAGACCCCTACAAAAGAATTATGATTAGTGGGAACAATCTCCGTAAACTAAAAGTGTTGACGTCCTGTCGTCATAGTTATAGGAATGATGAACCAATAACCAGCGGGAAAGTAGGTAGATGAACTGTCTAAGATAGGGAGAGAAAAATAGAAAGAGGGAGAGAAAGGGGGAGAGAGATGGAGAGAGAGCGACAGAGAGGTATACGGTATACGTTGACAATATGATAAGTAAAAGCAATGAGATGAGTGGCATAAGCTGAATACCCAAAGACAAGCCAATTGATTATGTATATAGAAATGGGAAGGGGCAGGATGTATTCCATAATGAAACTTGGGTGATACAATTGAAGCTTCACTCGTAAAATCCTCGAAGGCTTGACCTCTTCGAATATCAGACGACAGCACGTGATATATTTTCGGTCAAATGTTATTCCGGTCTTTCTTCTATAGAAGAGGAATTAAGCATTTTTATCGTCTATCCCTCCACTAACAAAGCAACAAAGCAACTTAGATTAGATTTGATCCTTTAACTCAAATGTTTGTCTCAAACATCCAATCCAATTACCTCATCAATGATTGATTACCCTTACTCGAATATTCTCTTGGTCAATCCTCAATGAATTTGATAATCATACCAGTACTTGACTAATTCGACCCGCCATTTCATATCAAATTCTTTTCTTCAACATATCATAATAGAAACCTTTGTAATACCACCGACCTTATTCTCTTCCTCTTTCATATCTCCGTTCACTACTCCCTCACTCCTTCAACAAAATTGTGCATTAACTCCGATAATCTACCACCGACGAAGGCACACGGCCGCACACCACCGGGCACGACGCCACATTTTGAGGGAACATCCGAATTTCCCATGCGACTTCGAACTTCATAGATATAAGGCATTGATTGCATTCGACATATCTCACTCTTCAAACCAACAGTAAACTTTGGACTCTATTCAGCGTCGCGGGTAATTCCCCACCACTCCCTCTCGTCCTTCCGACCTTCCCCACCTTTCTCCCAAAATGTCTACGTCGGGTTCCCTCTCCATGTCAGACAGTGACCCCGCTCCAGACGTCATGAACGATCCTTTGTATGCGACCAATACTACAAATGGGGAGGATGAAAATGGCGACCCAGATACTTGCAGGATATGTAGAGCGGAGGCAACGGAAAAGGAACCTCTATTCTATCCTTGCAAATGTAGTGGGAGTATCAAATTCGTTCATCAAGATTGTTTGATGGAATGGCTATCGCATTCGCAGAAGAAACACTGTGAGCTGTGCAAAACACCTTTTCGATTCACCAAGCTATACTCTCCCAATATGCCACAGTCATTACCTACTCGTGTTTTCCTGAGACATTTTGCTCTTCATATCGTCAAGAATACGGCTACATATTTGAGGTTTCTCCTGGTGATTTTCGTTTGGCTCATAGCCCTCCCGTTTTTTATTCGACAAGTATGGCGATTTTTATTTTGGTTTAGTGATGGAGGCACACCAGCTCGGAGTTCTACAAACAACTTTAGACGGAATGAAACCGCTTCACAAGCGCTGGAAATTGCCCGCGAGCTTGTCAATTATGCTTGGGATGGGACCACTCCCGTTACGCCACTCAATGCTAGTCAAACTTCACCCGCTAGAATTGGGGGTGTCATGGAAAAGCTTATGGGTATTATAATGCCTATTTCTCAAACACTCAATATCAGTAGTTCGGACCCTCTTACAGCTGGTTTCTTCAAGTCTCTTTATTACGGCTTTGGTCTGACAAGTGCGGTACCCTTAGATGCCTCGATGAACAATACGGGGATTGTGTCGATGACACTCCTATCTAGCGCTCAGGGACACTCGCTCTTGAGCAATGTCTCTTTCTTGGGAAATATGACTAGGGTCCCATGGCTTAATCAAGTCATCGTTGACATCGCTGAGGGTTATATCATAACTTTAATAATTGTGGTTACTTTTATCCTCGTATTTTTGATCCGAGAATGGGTAGTCCAACAACAACCTGTAATCAATATGGGTGCAGCATTCAATGCAAATATGGCTGCCGGGGGGGCGCCAAGAATTCAAGAACAGCTTCCCCAGGAAGACTTAGCGATCGACGTTCATGACCTGCAAGCAGAGATGGAGGAACGGATCCGAATGAGAGAGCGACTGGATGACATTTTCGCCCGTGCTCAAAGAGGTGGAAACAACACTGACGAACATGGTGCTCGACTGGCTGTGCCGGCAGAGAGGCCCGATACGAATGGCTTTCCACCCTTTAACTTTAACTTTGAACCCACTCCGGCAGCTGAACTTGACGAATTAGGAATCATCCCTTGGACGCTGAACCAGCAGCGGGATCTTTCTGGCCCGCAGGTTCAGCTTACTGATCAATTCTCAGCCATATGGCGACGAGCCGGGGGTGACCCTAGAGAAGTGTTGAAAATAATCGACCAGGAAGGGCTAGCAGACCGAATGCAATACTGGGTTGATGCCATGAACGTACGGTTACAAGATGGGAATTTTCAAGCAAATATCCGTCTTGGGTCAGCTGCCGAATTAGCCAGCAGCAGTAGAGTTCCAGTGCAATCAGATACACTTCAAACTACCGACATGGGCAATGCAGACGATCCAAGAACGGTGATAAAGGCGGACAAGGACAGTGTCAGCTCAGACAGTTGGGAGGAGGTACCAAGATCTCTTCAGATAGGAAATAGGAACATTCCGGCGTCAAATGGAGAATCTAGCGAGGACTCGAGACGGATTTCATCAAGCAGCGGCGATAAGGATGAATTATACATGACATCGGAGCATTGGCGAAGGGATAAAACCAGCGACTCGGATATTCCAGGCGAAACTGAAACCAAGTACCCGATGATATCGGGCGGACGAACCCCTGCAGTCCCTAATCGAGAGCCACATCCCCTTCCACTTTCTCAAAATAGACCCAGAGCTATCTCAGATGTACCTCACTGTCGAGACAAATCACCGTTGGGTCGTAATAATTGGGCTTTCTCCAATCTTCCCGATGAAGATTTCAGTGACCAAAACCTCAGTTGGCCCCAGGAGGATAAAAAGCTTAACGACGGTGATATGGTTTCAATGGCCCGAAAGGCAGTAGAAGAGTTGGACTTGCACCACGGAGTGACTTCGGATTCTGGTGTTGGTCCTAGTAACACGCAATCACCTTCATACACTAGAGATGTTCAGGATTACGACCAGGATTATAATGGGCCACTGGAGATAGTCGGCGAAGATGGTGTAATTCGAACGGCCGAGACTTGGGAAGATGTCTTCGAGAACAATCCCATCTCAGATGACGAAGAATACGAGGACGATTCCGAGGGATTGGAAGAAATTCCATTTACTCCGGATGCTATTCTACCGCCCCAGCGAGAAGGCCTTGCCCCACCTCATCGACCAGCAGAACCTGAAGGTATCGCTGGCAATGTTGCGGATTGGATGTGGGGCAGACCTGACGGCGCTGCACGAGAAGACGATCTCGGTGTGAATGATGAGCATGTGATCGAGGATCTTGCTGCTGAGGCCCCATTCGTTCCAGCTCGTCGCGATGGCTTCAATCACAGAGATGATGAAGATGAAGACGATCCCGATGTACGTGATGCTGTCATTGCCGCAGGTTTAGATCCCGAAGCAGACATTGAAGATGGTGAAGATTTTGATGGTATCATGGAACTCATCGGTATGCGAGGTCCATTGTTTGGCCTCGTTCAGAACGCCATCTTTAGTGCTTTTCTTCTAGGAATCACCATAGGGATTGTCATTTGGATTCCGTATAACATTGGTCGCATATCTATCCTCCTCTTGGCAAATCCTGGTCCAGCATTCAAGCTTCCTCTTCGATTCATCTTTGGGGCTGCAGCATTTGTGCAAGACACTGCATTGGTGGTCTTGGGACTTTTATCGTATTGTTTCATTGCTATCGCTCAGGTCCCGTTACGTTTACTTGCCCTTTCCAGCTCACGACTAGGACATGATGCTCTAAGGTTATCTCAAGCTGCCTTTGAACGCGTCATGAATGGGACCTTTGATAGTATCATCCATATCGCAGATTCTGAAATATTTACGTTTTCAGCTGCCTCTCATGAAGCTCTTATGATGATCAAGTCTAATTTCTTGGGTATACTGACATGTATTGGAAACGGATTTGTATTTCTGTTATCGGGAAGTTATCAAGTGACTCTCGCACATCTCGGAAACTTCACAACTTCACTCTTCAATTCCGTTGCATCCTTTCTATTTGGAATACCCACATTTTTGGCACGACCCGATTCCTGGGTCATCAGTCTAGAAGTACCCGGGCGGTTAGCACCATTGGATCCTGCTTTAAGCGTTTGGGGTGGCCTAGACCGAATGTGGGCTACCTTAGCAGGCTTCTCTACCCTTGCTGTATTAGGTGCTCTCTACGTTAAGAAAGGTACACCATTTTCGACAGAGCCAGGCAATGTACAAGATGTGGAAAACGGGGTGATTGATATGCTCAACCAAGCAGGAGGAGTCATGAAGGTTATTTTCATCATCAGCATCGAGATGCTCGTCTTCCCATTGTATTGTGGCCTTCTCCTCGATGCAGCTCTATTGCCGTTGTTCGAAGGAGCTACTATCATATCCCGTCTCAGCTTCACTGCCCGGGCGCCACTTACTTCCATATTTGTACATTGGTTTGTTGGAACATGTTATATGTTTCATTTTGCCTTATTTGTGTCGATGTGTCGGAAGATAATGCGAAAGGGAGTTTTACGTAAGAATTCCAATCCCCCCATATCAGTAAAGCTATTGCTAATATTATCAGACTTCATTCGTGACCCCGATGATCCGACATTTCATCCGGTTCGTGATGTATTGGAACGAAATGTGACAACACAACTTCGAAAGATCTTGTTTAGCGCTTTAGTTTACGGTGCTCTAGTCGTTATTTGTTTGGGCGGAGTAGTTTGGGGACTTGCATTCGCATTCAAGGGTGTTCTTCCGATACATTGGTCCTCGAATGAACCGGTGCTGGAGTTCCCTGTTGATCTTCTTTTTTATAACTTCTTGATGCCTCTGGCAGTCAGATTCTTTAAGCCTTCTGATGGCTTGCATTCGATGTATAGCTGGTGGTTCCGTCGGTGTGCTCGATGGTTAAGGTTAACCTGGTTCATGTTTGATGAAAGGAAACCGGACGAGGAGGGTCAAATCGTTCGCCGATCGTGGAAGGAGTATTTCGTAGCCGCTAAGCCTCAACCACTGGAAGACATCAGCGATGATGATACTCATCTCATACACAATGGACGATATGTAAGAGCTCCGGCATCGGATCAAGTCAAGCTTCCAAAAGGTACCAAGACGTTTCTCGAGGTAGATCGAGACAACAACCGTCTGGATGGTGTCGAGGACAGTTTTGATGGTGTTCATGGCCGGAATCGAGAGAACTATAAGTTGGTCTACGTACCACCTTGGTTCCGCTTAAGAATCCTGACATTCATCCTTTCCATATGGCTTTTCGCTGCAGCAACAGGAGTTTCCTTCACCATCGTCCCTCTGGTGTTCGGGAGATACATCTTCGCGAAGATTATCCCAGCAGATGTTCGTAAGAATGATGTCTATGCTTTCTCCATTGGAATCTACATACTGGGTAGCGCACTTTATGCTCTCATAAATCTTCGAACCGGTTTGGCGAAACTTCGCAATGCGCTTTATATCAATGGAGACACACCAGCCATTGTATTCACCCGCATAGTGAAAATTACTGCCCGTGTAGCGCGAATTTTATGGACTTACACAGCTTTCATCCTCGTACTTCCTACCCTCTTTGCTTTGCTCATGGAATTCTATTTGATTATTCCTATGCATACTTATTTCTCTCAAGAAGAAAAACATGTGGTTCACTTTGTGCAAAGTTGGACACTGGGGCTTTTGTATGTTAAGTTGACTACTAGAATCATTCTATGGCATGAGGGCAGTCGACCAGCGGAAGCACTACGTGCCGTCACCCGGAATGGTTACTGGGATCCGGATGCAAGGCTAGCTACGAGATCTTTCATTTTCCCAGCCAGCTTTGTACTTTTAATAGCTCTCGGCGTTCCCTACGGACTTGCTCAACTGGCAACCAAAACATTTTGGAGAGATGGTACGCAGTTGGAATTGATACAGGTAAACCGATACGCATATCCGATGGTTCTGGCCATGCTAGGAACGGCTTGGGCTCTTTGGAAAATGGCGGACATGGTGAGAGGATGGAAACAGAAGATTAAGGATGAAGTTTATTTGATAGGGGAGAGGTTACATAATTTTGGGGATCATAAAAAAGTGGTTGGCACTGCCACTGGCTTGGGAGGTATGGGCGTGAGAAGGATTGATACTTGAGCGGAGTTACAGCTACGGGTGTTGGAGCCCGTCGAAGATTTGCAATAGTTCCAGCGTTAGGATTACGATATGTCTAAATATGATATGAATTTTCTCAAGTGTTACTGACCCAAGTTGGGCTGGGCTTATCTCCCTTTGCCCAAATTAATGACCGCTTCCTCAAAACCTTCTCATCCATATTCTATTCTGGTGTGCAAATTATTTGGTTGTCGGATTTTTCCATGCGGGCGCAATGAGATAGATGTAGGGGTGAGCACAATTCCCGCTCAGTGCCCCGTTTTTGGCCATCATCTCCGGCAATATAAACACAGTGCCAATTGCGATTTCTTGTTTCCCACGTGTTTCTAGATTACATCAAGAACGTAGATGGACTGGTGACTGAACAAATGTGGGCTCAAGCAAATTAATTCAATTTTCAAATGCAACGATTCAAGGATTGACCGCTGGTATGTATCAACAATGTTACCAGTGGCAACTTATCAATTACTTGGCCTGCCTCTTCCGGGTACTTTGCTCAGATATTGTTAAGGTAATATATCAACCCGCATAGGTCGCCCAGTCGGATGACATGCCGTATTTGTCTGTCAGGGACATCTGGTTGCAGGCATTCTCAATCATAGACACGACGCAGGTATAAGTATAAATAAGTGCGCTGGTTCTTCCTATTTATGAACGATTTTTGATTGTCTAGCCATTGAAACGACCACTCGTCAATATTGTTCATTTGCAGATCCTTACTTTTCGCCTTTCACTCTTCCTCCATCATATATTGTTCGATTGAGAGTAAAACAGTCATGAAAGTCACTAGTTCGACTACTCTCGCCAACGCGGGTTTACTACTCACTTCCTCTGTTCAAGCAGTTGTCTTTCTGGCTCCTGAACAAGATATCCTTCTTCCGCCGAGCGGAGTTGCTACCAATCCACTGGCTTCCTTGGGGGCCAATAGTCCCTATTTTGCTGGTAAGTTTTCGTCAAAAATTCTTTGGTGAATGAGGTATCATATTACTCTATCTACACATCTACACCCAGTCAAGCAATTGGGATCCTGATCAATATCAGGGCCAAATATTCACAACATCAGCAACCAAGTTCCCGCCAACTGTCACGTAGAGCAAGTAGCCTATAACGTCCGACACGGCAGTCGCTATCCAGACTCAGGAGCATACGCGCAATGGAGCACTCTATATGCCTCGATCCAATCAGCAAATTTCACATCCACCGGCTCCCTAGCATTTCTCAAATCCTGGAAACCAGTCCTCACAAACCCCACGCTTCAAATCGCCCAAGAGAGTCCTACGGGATTCAAAGAGGCGTATGATTTGGGGTATCAGCTACGAACTCGTTATCCAGATCTTTATCCTGAAGGACAACCTTTTATATGCTGGGCAAATCTTTATCCGCGTGTTGTTCAAACTGCACGGAATTTTGTTAGGGGATTTCTTGGGTCTACGGCGGGTAACATGGGTATGGGGATTGTGGTTACGGTTAATTCGACGGGGAGTGAGGAGGCCCTTTTTGATAGTTTGAGTCCGAGTGATTTGTGTCCGGAGTTTGTGGATGGTAATGGGGGAGTGCAACGTAAGTACCTTCAGGGGGTCTCATTCCTTCACCTCGCCATGTGCTATTTTATTTCGAATCCCGGCTAATAGATATAGAGGAAACATGGAATTCCATCTACCTTCCCCCCATCCAAACACGCCTTGCATCATTGATTACAGGAAATCTCAACTTCTCAACCACAGATATATCTCTCATGCCCTATCTCTGCGGCTTCGAATCGCAAATTACCGGCGTACTCTCTCCCTGGTGCGGCGTCTTCACAGACGAAGAACTCGCTCAATACGAGTATTCACAAGACCTGCGATACTATTACGGCACGGGCCCCGGCACAGATTTACCTTCTAAAATGATGCTTCCGTACTTAAATACTCTCGTGGGGATCTTAGAACAGGGCCCCGGTCTCAACGGATCTTTTGCCAATGGTACTAGTTATACTTTACCGAGTATCCTTACGGCGTTCATGAACGATGGACAAATTAATGAACTTGGTGCTGCGGCGGGTATATGGGATAATACCACCTCCTTAGGCGATGGAACCTTTATCCCGCAGGATTACAAATATTTTGCTAGTCGTTTTGTTAGTATGAGGGGTACAGTGGCATTTGAAAGGCTTAGCTGTACTATTCATAGTCCTGGTACTTCAACCTCATCCTCCACCTCCGTCAACTCTACAGGTACAAGCTCGCCACGCCATCAACCCCACTACACAAACACCCCATCTCCCCCTTTAACACCTTCAAACTCAACCCGCGCATCCTACATACGCATCCTACTAAACGACGCCATCTATCCCATCCAAACCTGTCGATCCGGACCAGGCTCCAGTTGTCTTCTTAGCGACTACGCTTTCATAATCAAGGGTAAGGTATTGGCTGCAGGAGACCTGCCTACGCGTTGTAATGTGACTGCTGCTAGTGCAACGACGAAGGTTAAGGGAGCGAGCTTTTTTACGGATTTGTCGAGTGAGTGGGTGGGGGTTGTTGGGGCTTGATTTGGATGAATGGGGGAATGGGGCAATGGGAGGAGGTGAATGTATTACAGGGTATCTAATTATTCGGACTATAATTTAATTACAGTGGAGAGATTCCAATGTTCGAAATATTTTTAATCATTGAAGACAATTGATTTATTTTAAGTAATTCGTTATTTCAAATATATTTGATAATTGGAATAGTTTTCAATATTTTTGATATATTTAATGATTGGAATATATTCAGAAATTAAGAATATCTATCTTATCATTGGACTACTGTCTGGACTATTGGATACCTTGAATTGTTATGTCATTATTCAATACGGTATATAATGTTGAAAATGATATTAAAAGTGATCAAGTGAAGTGAAGTTATCAAGTACGTACCTATCTACCTATAGTTTTCCCCGCAGAATATCCGAGTCCCCGGTATTGTAATATAATATACTGACCCCCTCTCTCTCTCTCCTATCTCTCCTTCTCCTTCTCCTTCTATACCATATCTAGGGGGATACGAGACGACCGTCCGAGTCATTTACATTGCACCATCAATTCAAGTACTTTCTTTCGGTTTGATATGTGGCTATCACCACCTGCATAATCTCTTCAGTAAATTCTAGTAAGACCTCATCATTGATATCAAAAAATAAGTATTTATATATATATTATCACATAACTAATCTCTTCTAAAATATATCAGGAAATATCATCCATCATTAAAATAATAATAAAGATTTCTAATCTTGTATATCATATCATATTTTCTCATTTACTCGAGTATATGAGATAACCCTCATTTCGTTTGTGCGATCCTATTATACAGTAGTTGTGTAACTACTGAGTATATCCCTGGACTAAGACCCGCCATTCTACCTCTCAATATACTGGCTCTCTTCGTCCCTTCCATCCATTTCTAATCTTGTATGTCATATTATATTTTCTCGTCTACCGTATATGAGATAACTATATTATCGTTTCTGCGGTCCTATTATACCGCGCTCGTATAACTACTTCTCTGTACTAGCTCCATATCGTCCACCCTCTTGCTCATCCTAGAGAATAAAGCCCACACCCCGCATAAAATATCCATAGTATCCAATACCAAACCACCTCCAGCAGGTCCATAAACCCACCAGTCCATACCTTTAGGTACCTCCACTACGATTAAGAGACAAAGGCCATAATTCATCAAAATGAATTCGAATGCGAGAGTTGATCCCAGGGCGCATAACCCCTTCCGAGAGGTACCTCCGCCATGATCAAGAGACAAAGGCCACAATTCGCCAAAAGGACTTCGAATATGAGAATCGATCCCTGAGTACACAAACTCTGATTATAGCTAGTCTTCTTATACTTCTGGCAAAAGAGAATAAGAAAGATCTATATGAAACAATTGAGGCATAAAACTTCCTATTATTAAACGTTAATGTCTTTTGAAAACTTCTGATGGTGAATGAGTATTTACACTGCATATGAATATGATTGTGTTGTCATGGTCACGGTCATTACCACCCTTTATTAAAAATAGGTAAAATATCAAGGTTGAGGTTGACATGATGCTGATGGAGTTAGCTTATTTGTTCCTAGATAGGAGGAAAGGGTATAGTATACTTTGTTATCTGAACTTGTACTCATTAAAAATAAAACATGTTCAATGAGGAAAATGCGTGATGGAATCATTCCGTATATGATCAAGAACATTTTGAAAGGTGAATATCTTGTGTTCCAGGCATTTTTGAAATCATTTGTAGACTTGTGTGATTGTTTTTTTTCGAGGGCTTTAAACGTTCGAACTCTTTTCGATAATCATCTTAGTTAGATTTATTGGAAATGGAAGGGTAATTATCAACGATGTTCATGGTGAAGGGTGTTCTATATCAAAGGAAGCTAGCTGTTCGATAATCGATCCTAGGCAAGTGCGTGACATTCAATTGTTGTATTTCAATGACTATCTATTGTCGTAGATGCACCTGCCTCCGTTTACCATTGCTGTCACAACCAATCTTTACTACCCTTTCGAACATTGTCCCTTCACATAGACTCAGATCCGATCATTCAATCCAACTCAGTGATCTTGATTTCTCCTCCTTAGTGCATCCTTTTACAGCACGAGGTTGAATATGAGGTACTCGAGTACAACCTATTGAGTAGATATAAAAGCATCAAATTTCTACTAAACTATTAGGTTCTCACTAAGAGGACGCAAAACAAAACAATAACGGTATTGATAGGATATTTCGCATCCAAAAGATTGCAACGCCAGGACTATTCCATTCCCCTCAACAATGAGCCAGGCCGATACAAATGAAAACCTCAAGTTCATCTTGAAATACTCCTCTCAAGCTCCATCCAAATCCCATTCTCGAACCCAATAACCCCAAGCCTAGGGTATAAATCCAAGTCCGATCTAGCGAAAACCAAAAAGAAAGTGTAGCAAACAAAACAAATAAACTTTCCCAACGATCAAGGAAAGGCTTTTAAGGAAATGAAGAGAAACAATGAACCACTAAATCAGCACGCTCACAGCCAATTCCCCAGGGTCCATGACATAATATGGCGCGATCCCCTCACTCATCGCCTCACTATTCTCCTTAAATTGTCTTGCCGCCACATCAAGATCTGCCAAGAACTTCTCCGCTGCCCTTCTCACCCCATCTGTTCTCCTAGCCGTATCTCCTGGCCCAGCAAATCTGCTCTGCGGATTGATAGCTGCATCTCTCAATTCTCGAGCATATGACGACAGGGTTTGATCTTCGGCGACTCGGTAACTGAGCAGATACGGAAGTTGTGACGATTGGATCCAGACGGATGGGTCGTTGATGGGGAGAGCATTGATGATGTCGATTTCTCGGTATCTCTGGAGAGCTCCCAAGCTATTGGGAAGCGGTTGTTGCAGAGATGCCGGCTTGTTGGGTACGAATGACATGTAGTAGTTTTGGAGATAGTTAATTGCGTTGTGCTGGGGCGAGGCAATGTGGATGCACATTGTTATAGCATTGGTGAGCTCGTCGAGGGTTTGGATGCTCGGAAATGTGGGCATTTGTCCGCCGGCGGGAGATTGCATCTCGTTGCACCAGGTGGATACACATGTGTCCTTGGAGACGTCGGCGCTACTGGTGTAATAGGTGGCGAGCATGGATGAAACAAATTCAAAGAGGATGGGCCACATGATGGACATATTTCTTCCGTATGCATAGTTGTGGAATAGGCGGTCTCGCTTGTCGTTCAGAGCCGATAGAGGAAAGCCACGAGTGATGAGGGACGTGGGAACGTAGTTGCCAGTCCAGTTGAAGTTTCTGTAGGAGCTCAGGAGGAACTCGTAGGTTTGCTGTTCGGTGAACCCATTGATCTTGTTCACGACCTGTGGAACAAGAGAATCGCGAGCCGCGGCATTGAGAGAGAGAGTTTTGAACCTGTTATATCACAGTCAATCAACTGTCATGACACCATCCCACTAGTGGTCTTCCCAGACAAACGAGTGAGTGAATATGAATACATACCAATGAGGTTCCAGGATCTTATAAACGATATGATCGCTTGGAAAGCTTCTATAAGCCGCTACAGCGCTCGCCTCCTCCACAAAATGGCAATCATTGAGATGCAATGTCAACTCATGACGCGTCCAGTCGGCAATCAAACTACACATTTTGGCGTATCTCCATGGCCAATCATCATGCTCATAATCCTTTGAGTCCTTGGGATTGATTCTTTTGTTGAAGATTGTGACCGAGTTTTCCATGCTCACTTTGTAATCCAAGACAATTGCCAAGGGATGGAGATCGCCATCTGCATTCAAATGCAACAATGTTACCGAAGCACATCCGAATCTCTTACCATTATCAGATTTGAGAACAGCGTCCGGGAAAGCGCCAGCCCATTCGCGGAAGAAACTACAATCTTGGATATAGAAAGAGTTGGAGTTGAATGTCTCTAGGAGACTATGAATCTCTTTGTTTCCTTGATCGAACGCAGCTTTCTTGAATCGATCGAGCCAAGTGTGGCCGGCGAGAGCGATGGATGATGGATTTGGACCGGTAAAATATTGTTGTGCAAACACGGCATCACTGTACCAATCTTTTCGATACCCAATGCTAGGTTCGGTTCCTATATTCTTCTCTTGGTTCTGGAGAGCCATCATTCTCTCTTCGAGCATTGTCATTGTGGTTCCATTGTACGGATCTCCAAAGAGAAGATTTGAGATCTCTGGCGGGATTTTCGGGAGAAGAGAAACCGAGACGTCGACAAATCGCTTGAGGTTGAAGATCTTAAGAAGTCCCACCCGATCATCGAGGGGTATCCATTTCAAGTGGGGTGGGTACGCGGGAGTTGTGCTGCCCGGGAGTGCCCACTGATAGAGTGCTCGTTGCGTCTCAAATTTGCGGGGAATGAAGGGTCGATCTGCTTCGAAACCTTGGGCCTTGAAACTGTCTGCGAATCTATAGGTACAAATGAGTATGAGTTGTGTGATTCGGAATATACATGATAACCAACCTATCCTCGAGCCTCGTGAACAATTTTGCGGTGGCTTCATTGATCTCAGCAGGTGTTGCCACGATTGTGCCACCGACTTTTGCTTGCGGGGTCTTCTTGGGTCTTCGGATTATTCTTCGAAAGATGTTGGGCTTTTTCTCTTTGGTACCGTTGACCATCTTGGAGTTTTCGGGTGGCATGACGGTAGATCCATTCGTCATAGGCCCATTGGTGCCGTTGACACCGTTCGTTCTGTAAGACGCGGACATGATTGAGAATATGTGAAGAATTTGTGATTATGAAAGGACATGATGAATGAGTGGGTGGGCAAATAATATTTATGAACAAACATCAGTGTTGTCAATATTTATTCGCAGATGGAATGGGAAAGAAAATGTGGAGTGGAATGAAGGCCAGAATAGGAAATGGAATGGAATGAACTCGCAACACGGAAATCTACCACAATGTTGATTCTTAAAATTCTCGCAATTGGAAACTTTTCATATTTATGAGGAAGATCAATACGAATATCTTCAATTATCTATTCTATTTGATGAAGGAAAGGAAAATATCCCAGATTCGACAATCATCGAGTTGCTAAATGATCGAATGGGATATCTAACAAACACGGGATGATAAGAACGAGAAAAATGCAGCAGCTATTGATTACAGATATTCAATGGAATTTATACTGTCTAACAGTAAATATTTCGAAATATTTAAACAAGTTGCACTAACAAAAACCTGCAGTTATGGAAAAGATTCTCCATCAACAATGTGAAGTACAAACAGGAGACACGAATTAGAAATGCCAGAATTCCCAGGAGGACAGGCGGCTCCATAGGATCAGAGGAAGAACAGTTGGACTTTTAGCCTTTGGATGTTTTTCAATTTTGTTTCGATATTGTTTGGATATTGGAACTTATTTGAGCAATAAACTTTGCGTGGTCAAATATTGAACTTTATCTGTATGTGCAAATTTAGTTATAATCACTTAAATATTGAGACACGGCCGGTAAATCATTCATTCATGTCCACTTGGACATGTCTGGGTTTTTGGGTATTTGTACAAGTAGATATGGTAGCTTTGAGGTAGGTACGAGTTCAACGTTCCCTCAAAGAGACATAAGATCTTATATACATACATACGACCATCAAAAAAGTACCCTGGGAGGGAACAATATTCAGCCGAGTCATTGGCTCGTGTGAAGGCTCGTGTAAAAGATAGGGGGGGAAGGGGGGACTTGGATTCGTTAGCAGACTCATTGTATGGATAATGCTCAACTAGATTGCGATCTTGAGTGATAGTTAGATTCAGCTTTAGAGTAGAGTGAGATTAATCGGTCACGTATCTCTCTCTGTATCACGAAGTGCAGGTACCATCCTTTCAAGAATACTCGTATGTTATGTCTTGGAATTAGTTGAATGTTCAAAATTATATAGTTATACTTTAGAAGTTATTAGGGCCCGTTCAAATCTTAGAATCACATGAATACCCGCAGTTACTCAAATATATCAGTACGCTTTGCGGCTTTGGGTAGTAAGTGACATACATCCATTTAGAATTTGTTACAATCAACGCTAGTTGGGGATTTATAATAGTGTTCCTGAGGAGGTTGATGTATACTCTAATGAGCTTGGCTTATATATCCCATATTTTGTGCATGAATAGAACGACTTTCATATTGACGCGGCAGATACGACGAATTCACTGGTGCTCAGTACGTATGGGTGCAGAAGTGATAAAAGATCTGTATTCCTCTACAGCTTAATAACTCATCGCTTATGTATGTATGCCAATTTGCCAACATAATCTAGAGTACAGGGCTATCCCAATTGCTTTCCTATCCTAAATATCATGTGGAATCCCCTGCTGAGTTCTCCATGTGCTCGTAATTCCGCCAACACCTAATCACAAGTCAATAGTCGCCCCTACCCTACTGAGCTTGAAACTCCGCCTTATAGACTCCATGAAGTCTACGACCATACACGCTCCCTCTGCCCATTGTAGCGACCAATGCAGTCTCGCCTTCTTGATCAAAAATGTGATAGCTCATAGTCCACTTCTGAAAGTTAAGTCCGTGGACGAAAGCAGCCAATCTCATTTGTAGAAAATTATCGCTGTTGAGACCGATAATAATATCCATCTTGTTGACGTTGAATTTGTTCAGGATATTTACCATCTTCTTCATGCTCGCTTTTCGGTCTTTGTATAGCGCCTGCGTTGTATGTTTTGCTGGAGCATACAAGCGGATTGTAATATCGACGATGAAGGGGGCGTAGACTGGCAATGTCTCAAGAAGCGATGCCATATTCACGATGAATCCTCGGTTCATGAAATCAAGGTCGATGATGAGCTTTTTGGTGTCCTTGACGTGTTCAATGGTCATCAAATCGTGTTGAGGAACAGTAGATGGGTCAAAAGATCTGATGAGTTCTTCGGCCTGTTGCTTCTCAAGTGCCAACTTCTCTGCTTGTTGTCTTTCCGCCAGCTGTTTCTCCGCCAACTTTCTCTCTGCATAGAGCTCCACAGCGCGAGGAGCTGGGATTCTACCCCGGTTGTTCTTGTTGCCCATGGTGATAAGTAGGGATTTGATAATGGTACTGAAGAATTAGGGTGTGGAAGATGAATTGTATGTTGAGATTGGTCAGGTCGAGAATGTTAACGACAGTCTACCCCTTGAGGTTGTTGTGGAAGGAATATATCTTGGGATCTCGGAAGCAGAGATGCTCTTATGTATGATATTGAGTACAGTAGGTACTCTTGATGGCCAGTTACTCGCAAAGTATACAGCCATATTCAAAACGGTTCTAGTTCCCAAATTTGCTGCCGTACGCCGGGATTGGCTGGACTACGGTCATACTACTACCGTATTGATTGACTTGAGATCAGACTTTCTTAGAAAATAGAAGTAAGTCATGAAGTGAGGCTTCAAGTAGTATAAAAGCAGAAAGTGAGGTTTGTAGTCAAGACTTGATAGGGATACCTATTTAATCAACATTTGTATGTATAGCATGAATATGCTTAAGTCAACTACCCCACTTTTCGGCCACCCGATAAAAAAAAACTCTCTACCTCCCAAACCATATAACTCAATAACTATTCAATTAAAATAAAATCGCCTGTACCGTCACTTTCAATTGTATCATCGCTATCCTCTGCAATAATTCCATGGTTCCCAGCCACGATTTGCGCCTCCCTAATAGCTCTAATCCCTGTAAACCTGGTATTTGGACTAGTTACAACCTTACGCCTTTTCTTAGGTACAACTGTCTCCAATTGATACTCCAATTGCTTTATTCGTTTTCCCAATACTATAAGTTTATAATCCTTGATATCAAAAGCTTTAATAATCTTTCGAAAAAGCAACCGTCTCGTTGGCAAATCAGGCTCTTTTTCTTGGATCATAGTCGATGTATATAATCGAAGATCAGATGCTTTTTGAGGGGTTTTCCAAACAATAGCTGATGCCCCTATATTCCATTGAAACTGGGGATAATCATCAGATACTGGATTAGTCAATAAAACCTCTTGGTTGCTGTTTTCAAGCAATAATCAATTCATAAGAGGTTTAGCGCGGTTTTTGGGCTATAAACCCGATGCTTTCTACCCCGCTTTGATATTATGGATTATTAGAGTTTCTGCTCTAGTCTTCTGGTAGCAATGAAGAAAGCTACGCTTTCCAATTGGTGTAGAATCAGAGAGAGAATTCAAATTATTGAGTGTATGTCGATAGGCATTTTTCAGAGGTGAGAAGACTGATAAATCTAATGGTTGTAGGATGTGGGATGTATGTGGTGATAGGAATAGAAGATATATATTGTGTTCGAAACATTTTTATATAAAGGGTATAGTTTCATGACTTCCATACCCATCCAATATGAGTAATTATGTATTACTGGGCTCAAAGGGGGTAATTTGAGGTATAAATATCTTTTCCAACTATTCTAATTCTGTAGTGTTAGTAGTCCATCCATTTTCTGTAGTAGTGAAGTTCTAATCCTTATAAAGACTAAAATCAATGGAAAACCATTGTTGTTGAACAGTTTTCCCCTTGAAAATAACGAGTGGTTTGAGGGCTTTTCCTGTTGCCGAAATATACTTGATAAAAGATGTCCAAACTCTTGAACCAGGTTGTTTTTTTTTAATATAACAATGCTGGGAACTTCCTACTACTAGGTCGTTAAGACCCTGACCCTTTATTATACCAGCTTCGTCTATATTGTATCGATTTTGTGGTTTTGTATCAATAATCTCGGGCAATTCGAGTTTTCGAAACCATGGCGCAATAATATCATAGAAAACACCCGAAACTCGGGCAGAATCGATTCTATATTATCTCTTGACTCTAATCTCTGGATTCCTCTCCAAAAAATTGCATACCCATCGTTTTCCAAGGGTAGAATCGAGTTCTTTTATATCGAGGAGGTGTTCAACAATTTCTCGAATTTGCCGATGAGTAGGATTAGTACCCAAGCTCTTTTGTACTAATATCTATTTTACTAAACGTCTCTCCTGAATCGGGGCAATCTTTTGCATCATTTTAGAACCTTTTTGATGGGATACACAGCCATTGATACGACTCTGAAGTGTAATGCAAGGAATCCCATATTCCAGAGCAGCTTTTCGCATCGAAACACCATTCACGATAGCATTTAAAGCTGCAGCAATATCGTCTTCAATATGGAGTTTCGACATTATACAAATAATAATAAATCAAAATTTGAAATCAATTGATTAAATGGTTGTTTAATCAGAAAATATTTAAGAAGGTAGGTTGCTGAGGCGGTGTGGGTTTTGAGGGTGGCCGAAAAGGGGGGGTGGCCGAAAAGGGGGGGTGGCCGAAAAGTGGGGTAGTTGACTTATTGATTTGATGGGTAAGCGAAAATACTAGCTAACCCAGCCGAATGGGATAATCATTGCAGAGGTCAAACATAGTCCTCTCCTTTTCTTCTATAGTTGTTCCCTCGCTTGTCTACTCTCAATTAAAGCAATGATCTACTCTGATATGATAATATTGCTCCCTTACAGAGATAACTCGCTTCTGTTGGGCTCAGAATATACTTCTGCCTATAGAGATGTTATGATTGAAGAAACACTATCATCGAAAACAGCTAATACAATACAATGTGCTTAGGCAGCCTTTCGATGCTTGGAATCATTCAATACTTGAAGTATAGATATAGATTTGCGGACTATATTCTTCCCAGCATCCATACTCGAGTAGTTGCGGGACTATTTCGCACTGCTATTTTGTCAGAGATACAAACCCAAAAAGGTGGGCATACAGTATACCATTAATGCACAACCACATATCTGTAGTCATTCGATATTCGCATTAGTGATCATGTGATATAATCAACAACACTGTCGACCGACGACAAATTTCAGGAGTTGTAGTAGGCCCGTTTCTTGGAATAATTTTGTGAGTAACTGCAAATTCCACCTCTGTATTACCAACACTATCCATTTTGAGATCAAGGTGAAATTTCGCGAAGAGTCAAAAATCACAATGTTTGAATACACGTTATGAAATTGGGTATATATATAGATAGTATGATAGGAGTTGCGGACTTTCTACTCTAGCGGCATGACTACGATATTAGAGAGGGATCGGCAAAAGCCATGATGTAGAGAGTAAACTCTTTGTTTCTTGGTTTTGAGTTTCTACTACTGTAAACCCCGGGATTGGCCGGTCTTAATTCAAGAATTGTCAGGTATATCAATGAAGGATTAGATTTTAGCCTCTAGAATAAACTATAAAGACTCGCGTCATAAATCTATACAGGTAGAAATGAGTTCAGTTCTATATAAAATAAGAATCTACTACTATCTATCTCATCTTCTATCAGCCTCTGACTCTCTCCGAGTGTGACTCGATCATATCATCATTCACTAAATCCTCATATACATGGTGGTAATACTAGGACTAGTATTTCCCACTTCACTTCTTTGTATACCGTCTTCACAAGAATTCAGATTTCTACTATTCTAGAAAACAGACCCTCTACCACCACCGCTATCAAAAGAATTTGAATCTCCTCTCAATATATAAGCAAACATCGATCCAATGTTTGCGTTAACCTGGTTTTTCTTTGCTATATTGGCAAAGATTAGTGTTATTCGCTGGCGCCATGGTCAATGTGAGGCCCTAACATTATTATGCAATCAAAAGGAGATGACCTCTTGTTTTCCATTTTTACACCAATGGCCATTCGCTTTTTACAACCATGATCACATCGAAGAATGCGATCGGAGCGCCGAGGTCATGTTCTTATACCTGATTATCGGTATCACTATCTTCCTTTTCGTCTATTTCGAATTCTTGATGTTCACTTGTCTTTCTATCTTAGCGAGCTATAGAGATGAAAGAGTCAGGATCTTGGGAAGTTTGGTAGAGCTGGAGGGAATGGAGAGATCGAAGGCTCTCGAGGCGATGTTCAAAAAGTACAAGTTTGTGAAGAAGCAGTACCCGGATACAGATACGATGATATCGAAGGATGCGATTGCAAAGGGTACGGTATGGAATCCGTTTCGCGAAGGTTCGAATCTTAGAAAGAGGCGGATAGCGGATGAGGAGATGGCTATCATTTTTTGATGGATATGGGAGCACTTGGGTATGGGCTCGGAGGCTCGTGTTTTGGTGATCTTAATTAAAGCTTCGGGATGATATTTGAAAGACAAATGGGGTTTTGTGTTTGGAAATAGAGAGGGTATTGCTAGGCGATATGGGCATAGTGAGATGATCTTAAGTATTCAATGGTCCAGACAACAAGTTGTTCCTGGAAGGCTTGATTTTTCAAAAGCCGATGAACGTTTGGAAATATCTTTCTCTTTCAAACTAACTGATTTTTTCTAGTCAAATTAGGTATCTCCGAGTCAAAGGGATGTAATTTATTATTGAGATATAGATAGATATAATCATATAGTAATATACTAGACATTTTATATATATAGAATATATCCAATAATTAGTCTAGACTACTCGAGTATAATCTAATAATAAGATATTCTTACTCGAGTAATTCCCAAATATCTCTCAAACATTATTTTGATTTTACTAGTAAATATTGAATATATCAAAAAAAACATTGAAATCATTTCAATTATCAAATATATTTGAATTAATAAATTGCTTGAAATAATTCAATTCCGAGTCTTTTCAAAGATTAAAAACATTTCGAATATTGGAATCTTTTTCATTAGACTATAATAGTCTGGACTATTGAATACTCTGAACTTAATCTTTATCTTTTGATTTTTAGCTTTAACTTGGAAATCAATAGTTCTACTTATTCCGAGTACTGTTCTGAATGTTTATCTACTCGAGTATAGTACAAGTAGATTAGATATTCCATTAAGACTTGTTATGACAATCATAATCACAATCATAATCACATATTGGAACTACGGGTATTCCATCTATCTCATCTCATTTCATCTCAAGTCAACTCATCTCAACTTTACTCATCTCAATTCTTTTATCTTAATTCTTTATCTAATTATCTCAACTCATCTTATAACTTCAATAATACTCTATCTCTCCTCTCCTCACTTTTCCTCTTTCTCATATACATCTTTTTCTCCATCTCCACCCCACCCTCACCCTTCGGCCCTCCCCTTTTTTTTCTTCATTTATAAAAGCCAAAATCAAAATCGAAACCCACTTTCTAATTGGCCAACTAGAGCCATCCATCCCATCCCATCCATTAATTCCACACCTTTCGCTTGAGTTCCCATCTTCCCTTCTTTCCTTTCCTTCCCGCATCAATCATCCATTATTTCCACGGGGTATAATATCCCCTTCCAACTAGCACCACGCCCCCTTTCTCTCCCCCACATCATCCCATCCATTCATCCATCCTATCCTATTCCCTCATAATATACACAAACAAAGCCATCCTAACCTTTCCCGTCCCAACCCATCCATATCCGCCCAAATCCCTAATTATATGAACAAAACAAGTGTCGAATCGAATCGAATAGTAACATTTACATTCGTACCCTCGTACCCATGTGCTTCCTCCATCCATTCATCCCCATACCCCCAAATAAAATCCATGAAACACCATGCTATAACCCATGCATGCCAGCTCTTCTTAAAACATCGCAGTAAAGGTGAGCGCAAACCCACGAGCAGAGAAGAAAAGAAAGACAAATCTGACTCTATCCTGTCCAATGAACAGACAAGATTGTTATGTAACGAGTGAATGATCGTTTGGTAGAGCGAAGCCGAAGTCGGCATTGAGACACCAAAAGGAGGAACTGGGGTCGCATGCTGACTCTCTAGTCAATTCCCCTCCTTTTATTCTCCACCACCTCTAACTTCCTCAGGGATAAACTCCTCCCTCCATCTAACACCACCTTCTACATCCACACCTCCTTTAACCCATTCATTATCCTGGACCTTTTCTAAAGTCCACCTGCTTCTTGCTCTCTTCAACAACCCTTCCGTAACTTCCATTGCCCCCTCCAATCCCTTTTCCTTGAATTTTTCTGGATCACCATCGTGATCACCCTCCTCCCCAAAATATTCGATCCATCTCCATTCCATCCGCGCAATCCTGTGGCTCGTTCGACTTCGCTGTTTATGTCCTTCTGACATTCCTGGGTTGGGGTCGAATGGTAACCTGCTTTCCAGCAATGCATAGAGCAAGACGCCAAGAGACCAGGCATCAGTAGCGCGCCCATCATATGGTTGACCCATGATAACTTCTGGTGCAGCATAATCATCGGATCCGCACCGGGTAGTAAGCTTTTCATCATCGGCTACTCGACGAGAGAGACCAAGGTCGGTGAGGGTGATAATTGAGTAGGGATATGTAGTCCAGTCTTGAGGTTTTGCGAGTTCGTGTTGTGGGAGATTGACCAAGACATCTGAGAAAGTAGGGGTATTCGGTTAGTCTGTGGTGTTCGTAATTTTTGAAAACTATGTAGAGGGCTTTGGGAAGGAGGAGAATCAAAGGCTTACTTTCTAATTTGATATCCCGGTGGACAATGTGTCTCTCGTGTAAATATTGGACTGCTCCAATAAGTTCTGCAAACATACGTCTGAGTAACGATGGGACGAGAACATCTCTATGTTGACTAGCCACTTCAAAGAGGTCTCCACCGGGACAATAACTCAAGACTAAGATAGCTCTCGTGTCTTCTATACTCCAAGCTTTGATGTGAACCAAGGAAGGATGATGTATCGATTTCATAATTTCCAATTCACGTTTTAGTGACATCTCTACTCTTTCTTCCGATGCCCCTCCTTTGGGACCATGTTCACAAATCTTGATTGCTACCAATTTTTTCCGGTCGACTTTTACATCAATTGGTGTGACTATTCCTTCGATTCCAAACACATTATCTTCATCTATGCGGCCTTCGTCGTCCTGTACTTGGCTTGTCGCTAGAATGACTTTGCTGAAAGTACCTTGCCCTAAGACTTTGATACCTCTCCATCTTCGTCGTTTGGAATCATTCCTCGTATATGCATCAAAGTATTCACATCTTGATTTCCGAAGAGCCCTTGGAATATTATTAGTCAATGACGAATCACTATCACTGCTTTCCCCTCCTGTTCGACTCGATGGTGGGGTTGGTGGTCTCGGTATGGGAGCCAATCCCCGTTGGACTGCTAAATGTGGTTCTCTCCGCATATGCATGTCTGATGGTGGAACCGATTCTGCTGCTCCATCTATGATTGGGGCGTGCGAACTAGAGACGGTAATATTCCGAGGTTTTGATACCTGTATAGGATCTGGTACATATTCGCTCATACTTCTATTCCTAGTATGTCCTTCCGCATTCTTCTTTCGATTGACTTGCGCATCCGTCAGACCAGATTCACCAGCATTTGTTATTAATCCATGATATGCCCTTCTCTTTTGTTGATTTGCCATCGCAGAGGAAACCGATTCGCCGTTCGATGTGATGAGTGCCGCATCCGAATGTATTGGAAGCATATGTTCGCGCGAAGTTCGTCTTGAGTTAAGTCGTTTCCAAGGTCCGGGCGAGTCTCCCGACATGAGTGGGGAGGGTAGAGGAGTAACATCTGCCATTGCGTTCAACATTGGTGACGACAATGCTGAGTTTGGTGTAGAATTGTTACTACCTATACTGCTTGCCAGGACATTCTTGACACTCGGAGTTCGTGCGAGAGACATCCCCAACGGTCCGCCGGATCTTGAATGTATTCGGGTGGTATCAGGAGATTCGCGTTCAGTCAATCCGGTCCCTGTGCTGGCAGATGTGATTGTACAACCAGGAACGATATCGGTTTGTATTCGCAGACCCGCGCTTAAAGGACTTGGGGTCTGACTATATGACGGATCTATATTTGGATGAAGACGAGAAGTGGTGTCAAGCGCGAGTGGGGTATATATCTGGTTGGTTGAAGTGGATCGGCTATGAGGAGGCGAAGGTGCTATGGTATTTGATTCAAATATGGCAGTAAATGCTGGAGCTTGACTTGATTGAAGAGGAAATGAAACGTTTGAATTTTGTATCGTGTTTACGTCGTTCCTAAATGTGGCCGTAGCACATCCAACCTGGGCTGACGCAAGACCTGACGCAACTTCGAAACTTCCATTTTGTAATCGGCTCTCGACTATCCTTTGTTCCGAATTCGACATGTTGGGGAAGAAAGCGGGTTAGATGGAGTGAAAGTAGAAAAGGTTGAGGTATCTCCAGTATTTAAAGTAACCTTGTGATGATATAATTATTTTCAAGGATTATTTAGATGAGTGGTGATTTGATGTACTGTAGTGTAACCAAAGCTCACATCACTGGACAATCATCAATCAAATACCAATACCACTCTGTTAGATGGTTGATTTGGTTGATTGACTGATTGTATACTCCTCCGTATGGGTTGTATTTGAGAAATATGAAGTGAAGTGGGGGTTTTGATATAACAAATGAATTGATGATTGGGATAGATGTGGGTGGGTATGGGTGATAGAAATTTAGCTAGTGGATGCAAATCAATTGGTCTAGATTGGTATTATATGAATTTATTATTATTTAAATTTGGAGTAGTTGTATTACAGTATATTGAAAGCGTACTATGTACTCGTATATATATAACCCGTACTTGTACTGTATGCAAGTGGTAAAATAGTAAAAGTACTTGTATATAATAGATAGAATCAGGACTTAGGAGTATACGGAGTAGATAGAGAAAGAAGAGTGATTCCGGATATGATACTTTTTTATAGAGTTATTATTATTCATGGGTTGAGTAAAATTGGTTGCAGATGTTCATTTCATTCAATTTACTTTTAACCTTCTTGTGCTTCGTATAAAGAGCTAATTGGTGTTGTACTACGCTTTGGCTGATAAGTATATACCAGGTATAATATATAATATCTAATAACCTCTTCTCAGATGGTTAATTGACTTATCATCTTCATTTTCAGCTCTGGTTTGGACTTTTTTTTTTGATCAAACTTTATGATAACAATTATTACCAAAGTTTTCTCCTTTGTCTAAAGAAATCTTAAACCTTTTTTTCTATCGATGAATGCAGTAACCCGGAGTCTCGGCTATGCCGTAATTGGTAATCTTTTTGGTCTAGAAAGGCCTATTTCGGTAATTAAATATAAATGCTTCTTGATATTTCGAAGAAGCAATTGGGATGTTTTCATGAGGTGATTCAAATTGTTATTCTACCGTCAAAACTCAGTTACTCTGGATAAGCTTAGTCCTAAACCTTAATCCATATTAGGACTCCTAATATTAAGGTTTTGGCGGATATAATCTTTGGGTACTGGTATCTTTGAACCCAATCTAACCCCCCTTCTAACTCAAGATTGTTTCAAATTAAGTTGTGATCGCAAAAAATTTGACTTCTTGCATTTTTTGCTGTAACCTTATGTCACTATACATTTGAATCTTTAAAAACCCCTCACTACCTACCCCTTCATCTAATCCGGTAGCGATCCTGTTTCTACTGTGAACTCAAAGCAGGTCCTCAATCACCAAACCCCATCCAAACTTTCTGCGAATTGTACTTGGGTTGAACTCAATAATATCACAGGTTCACAACGAAATGAAGCTTTAGATAGATAACCCCTCCTCTTCATTTTGTACCTGGATAATAATCTCCGGCCCACTCAACCGACCTGCCCCTGCTCCACGTGCCACCTTATAAAAACCATTAATGAACTTCACAGTTCACACCCACGCGGCGCCAAGACAAGATAAATCGCCCAATTGGAGTCCTGATCTTCTTGGAGGATTTTCAAGGGAGTCAAACAGTCAGACTTTAAGTTTTGCGTTTATCGCCGGCTCATGATCATCATTCAAGAGCGCTGGAGAGAGAGATGACAACCACGACAGGATGTCCCACGTTTGAAAACAATGACTACCATTGGTTGCGCAACCTCGATGTCATTAACAAGGGTGAATGTCTATCAGCGGTCTCACCCGCACAGCCAACAAAAGCAGTTTGATGCTTGTTTGTACGACATAACACCACTCCTGCCGTGGTGTTTCATATATTCCCGGGGTGTTGTATCATGTGAGTTGGTCCTTGTGGATTGATTATGTAATTCACAAGCCAAGTTCTGATACCATATATTTGAACTGCTGCTCGTTCTTTCCCTTGAGTTGAGTGTTTAGTGGAGAGACAAAGCCTTGATGTGATTTTGCCAAAGATCGAGGCTCAAATACAGTCATATACGGTACCGGTAATGATCTCAGCTTGATCAAGCAATTGATGAGAGCGCCGGAGGTCCGTAACGGCATCATTCCAAGACCAGTTGAATAGACAGACACTCACTCACAAGGCCATCCAATAACTCTAGGTTATTCTTCAATCTCTAGCAACTGACAACGTGTTATTTCGAAATTATAAGGCATAAGTATTGGCTTCCTCCACTCAATACACAATACATACACACCTCCGACACCATGTAGTAAGGAATTGGTCATGCAGGCGATGCTGACCTCACACTCCAAAATCTATGGACACACTCCACACCCACACGCTTAGAGACACAATGTCCGACCTCGGCAAACATAACTGGCGTATCACGGAAATGAAATTTAACATCACTTCCTTATCACCACCACCAAAATAAATGTCAATGAATCATCGAAAAGACCCACAATGTTAGTATCTTAGTATCATTCCGCCCCGGTTTTGGACAAGACAATCGCGCGTTTAAAGGAATGGAATATCATTAGAATGGAGATAGGTATTGCCGCGAGCCTCGGTAGGCAATGGCGTCTCTTTTGTATGAACTCTATCCGGTATCCTTTCCTCGTGTTTCCCCTTTCCTTTCTTCGGCTGTATTTCTATTATAAGTGGCGATATACTCTAGATTTCTTTTTCATACATATTACTTTTGGGGATTTGTTCGAAAATACAGCAAATAAGATGAGTAAGAAAGGAGATTTTACCGCCGTTCGTAAGGATATTGTTGGTCTTTTACATCAACCGGAATACGATGATGGCAGTGCTGGACCAGTTCTTGTGCGCTTAGCATGGTATGTGGGCTTCCATTCCATGTTTCTTCCAGACTGTTCCCAGCTGCTGCAATCCACTTCGGCGCATACAACTCCTTCCGATTCACAACCTAATATTTTGTAGGCACTCTTCCGGAACATTCGATGCTGAAACAGATACTGGCGGATCCAATGGGGCTGGTATGCGGTACGAAAGTGAAGGAGGGGACCCAGCAAACGCCGGTCTACAGCACGCAAGAGTATTTCTCGAGCCAGTCAAGGCAAAGCACTCCTGGATAACATATGCGGATCTTTGGACGCTGGCGGGCGTGGTGGCAATCAAAGAAATGGGCGGACCAGATATTGAATGGAAAGGAGGGAGAACAGACTTTGTCGACGATTCGAAACTACCCCCACGAGGACGCTTGCCCGACGGGGCGCAAGGTTCCGATCATCTTCGATGGATATTCTACCGTATGGGGTTTAATGATCAGGAAATTGTTGCCTTGAGCGGAGCACATAATCTTGGACGTTGCCATAGTGATCGTTCCGGATTCGAGGGAGCTTGGGTCAATAATCCTACGAGGTTTTCGAATCAATATTATAGACTCTTGCTCTCCCTGCAATGGCGCAAAAAGAAGTTACAAAATGGAATGGAACAATTCGTCAACTACGATGAGGATACCGAGACGGAATTGATGATGCTTCCAACGGATTTGGCCCTCACGCAAGATAAGAAGTTCAAGCACTGGGTAGGGAAATACGCAGATGATAAAGAGAAGTTCTTTGAGGATTTCAGTAAAGTTTTTGCGAAGTTGGTTGAGTTGGGTATTCAAAGGGATGATGAAGGGAATATTACGAACTCGGATAACGAAAGGGGGGGTTATCATGCGGCGCCGAAGAAGAAGGATACTCCTGGTAGCCCTGCGAAAAGTACGGATGATAAGGTGGATGTGAATGAGGCGGAACCATTGAAGGAGGAGAATAAGAAATTCAAGGCGAAGTTGTAAAATAGTATCGTTTGTGGGTGTACAATAGTAGATTTATAGATGGGCGATGGTTGAGAAGTTAGACAAGATGAACCAGATTCTAGATATAGAAAGAATTAATAGATATTAATAAGTTGGGTCTGGGTTTCTAATAGTCCAGACTGCAGTCAGAGAATGAAATTAATCTTGGTCTCTGAGTTGGCTTTTTATCTTAATCGGTTCGGTATCTTAGACTGGTCTGATTGATATCTTGGATCCATTTGGAATAATCAATCCATTGAAATCAATGACCTATTCTCAAAGAGACACAGTATTTCAAGGATTAGAAGCTCTTTTCTAGACCGCAGCCCGGACGATTGAACACCCCGAGCTGGGGTTTATCAATCTGGGAAAGTGCAACCAAATTACCCTTTTCCCGACATCATGTTTACCTTATACCATCTTCTTCCACTGTTCTCCAATATCCCATCTCTCTTTCTCCCTAACATGTGATTTCAGTATCCCTATCAAAAGCATTTTGTACTCCCCATCACATCACTCACCACTAGCATGCGATCCTTCTTCTCCCGCTCCCCCGATCTCGAAGGAGGTCGCGCCTACAAAAAAGGCTTCACAGGTGACCACCGAGGCCGCTCATATATTCCTCCCAACCCCTCTCCTCTCTTCTCCCCCCAATCCCAACTCGATCCCTTCGATACCCCTTCTGTCGTTTACCGCCACGACACCATATTCAAACCACCTCCAAGCCCGAGTCCCAAATCCGTCACCTTTAGCGATCGTTCTTGGAGTGCTCCTTCTGCTTCTCGGACTGGGACTGGGAAACTAGGAAATGGAGCCACGGCTGGAGTGCTGGATAAAGGTCAATTGGATAAAGATCAGTTGGATAGACTCCACGAGTACCTAGGAGTTTTACCCGCAGGAGGAGTCCCACACAGGGCAAAAAGAGGTTTCAGCATGAGCGATCCCAATGATCGACCCGTCCATGTCTCCGCACCGATCCCCCTATCCCCCCAAGCACGCATCAAGAAAAACCTAAAGCAAAAAGCCGCAGAACATCATTTCCGCAGGAATCAGCAGCAAAGTGGGCATAGCCATGATGCGTTATTGGGTGAAGAGCAGGAACAGCAGGTCCGTTATCAAACACATCTTTTCAAAGAGGCGTTGAAGACGGCACTTAGTGTGCACAGGGAGGAACCTGAGTTTCAGGAGTTTGCAGCGGGAAGTTCAAAGGGACCGGTGATGCAGAGGAGAGGGGCGAGTGAGGGGATGAGGGAAGGCGGGTTTGTGGGGCCGTTGCCGGTGGAGATGGAGGAGGAATTGCTGCCCAAGGATTTGGCTGAGTTTTTGGAAAAGTATGATCCGAGGTCGGAGGATCTGCCTGATGTGTATGTGATTCTCCCTGTGTACTTCGAAAGGTTGTACTAGAGGGCCTGGATATATGGTGGGACTGATTTGTGATTGAGATAGATATCCAATGGGTGAACATAGGGCGATGCTTCGAACGATGTATTTGGAGGATATACTATACTCCACTGCAAAATTGCATAAGCATAATTGGATATTATTGAGCCGAAACGAGAAATATAAAGACTGTAAGTATTACATACAGTCGGATAGCTTTACCTCGACTATCAGCTGACGATATAATGAAGTACGCATCCCCGAGCGCTGGGATCAAATACAAGAAGATCTCGAGAAATACAGTACGTATCCTATGTATATCTATCTTTCCTGAACATCAATTTCTCCCTTTTGTTCTCAATAACCTATTCCCTTCTCTCTCCAATTCCATCTCGACTAACCACACCCCCCACCCCCAGCACGCTCAATCCGCAACTACGAATACTGGCTCACCTCCCTAATCCCCCCCCTCTCCCTCTCCAAATCATCTTTCCCCCCACGCTTCCACCTCTACGGCAAACAACTCGCCATCCTCGAAGCCGCCAAATCGTATAATAATCCCCTGGAACAAGCTTTTGCACATGAGCTTGAACGGAAATTGGTAGCGTATCATACGGATTGGAGTTTGAATAGTGTGGTGTTTAGGGGATTAAGAAGGGATGCGAGGAAAAGAGGGTGGAGGAGGGGTAATGGTCCGTTTGTGAGGTGGGCAGGGAGGGTACTGGGAGGGGTATTGGGGGGAGGTGCTTTGTTGGCGCCGGTGGGGGTGTTGGTGCTTTGGCCGGGGGGAGTGGGGAGGGTTGGGGGGGTGGGTGTGGTAGGGGTTAGTGTGGCGGTTGTGGGTTTGGTGGTGGCGTGGGGAATGGATGGGGGGGAGGAGGGGAGGAGTGGATGGGAGGGGGCTGAGGGGGTGAGAGATAGGAATGCGAGGGCTGGGGTGGGTGGGAGGGGGAGGGGCGGTGAGTGGGGTATGTGGGATGTTATGCTGGTTTTGGCGGCTTATGCGGCGGTTTTGGTTATCTTTTTGGGGGTGGCGATTGTTTGATGTTAGGCCCTTTAGGGTAGGGTGGCGAAATTGATAGGGGTCGGTAATAGAAATCTGAGATTATTGATGCAAAGTGGAAAGTGGAAAGTTTTGGTGATGCTTACTTTAGTGTGTATATGGTGAGTGTAGTGATGCATTTGAGAGATGATATGCACTGATGAAGACTAGTGAGAGAATGAATAATAGTAGGTTGTTTTGCTCGCGCGGTTTGAAGAGATACATACAGTAAGGTAACTATGCAGGATCGGATGGCAAGCATAAAACAAAACTCGGGATCTTCGATATCATAGTCTACTGTACAATTCTCCACTCAAATATAAGGAATCAACTTTAAATTGAAGTTGAAGTTAAGAAATAGAAAATCGAATAAAACGAAATGTAAAGAAAAAACCCGAGAAGGAGTTTATGAGATAATAAAATGGATTTACTCATTAGATTAAATTATAGTCAGAGTTTTAATAATAAAGCTCTCTCTCAGTGTTTGTTTGTTTGTTTTTGTGTTATTCGAGGAGTAAATAAGTAATTACGTAAGTTTGATATATTAGATCATGATGATATATTGGATTTTGAGGAAATATATATGGTTGGTTGATTGGTTGGTTGGTTGATTGGTTACTGGAAATCTGGAATAGGCTGGAATGAGTGAGAGTGAGGATGGTTTGGGTGGTTTAATTTGGGATGGGGAGGATGGGTTGGTAGGGTATGGGTATGGATGGGTATAAGGGAATTGAGAATGTAGATGATAGAGCGTAGATGAGAGGTGAAAGATGAAAGTTGAGTACGGAGAGGTCATTGTGAAGCAAGAATAGTTGTAAATTGGAAAGACAGGTAGGTTGTAGAAAGGAACATTCAAGTTAGTTGTGGTAGAGTGAGCAAGTAGTATAGGGTCCGAAAACATTTATTTAGATAGGTAAAGAGACTTAGTTATTGGTCGTTCAGAGTTGTCATTTTTGGGGTTATTGAGACAAGGTCGGAAAATTGAATAGATGGAGAGTTTAGTGAAGTATTTACAGAGACATTGAATTATCTCAAACTGATTACAGTGTTCACGTCTTTTTTATCATGGTTAGGTCATTGTAACTTATATAATTCGTTGGTTTTATATATTCGTACACTCATCAGACTTCAAGGTCTTTCGGTAAACCCCTTTTTATCAAGAATTCAGATTTTGTCACGTGGAAAAGTCGAATTGAGAATTTGGAAAATTAAGAATCTATTGTTTATTTTTCAATTTGGATTGTGTTATGGGTAGTCCTTTCCATAAAGCAAAAATAGTACCAGCTATCGGAAAGGAGAAAAGTCAAATAGGGGTCAAACAAGGAAATTGGCAATTGAGTTCCTCACCTTACACAGCACCCATCAAGCAATCCGATCATCACAGTCCTTTTCTTAGATCTTTAGACCATCAATACCGGAAATATGAGCGACTTACCAAAGAAAGAGACCGTTATAGGTGTGTAAATTTTGAATACAATTTCCTTTAATTTTCTGTTCTCTTTTTCCTTGTGATTTGCGATTATGGGATTTGGAGTTTTCGGAATGCCACATCAACAACTACATCAACCCTAAATAAAACTCCATCGGTTGGGGGATCATCAAAATTGTGAGCCATTCTGGTTCTGGAACCTCGACCCTGTTGAGAAGAGAGGCTACGCCAAAATCCTGGATTACTGTTCTGCACGCCGGACAGTCACCGTTGGGTGAGAAATCAAGCCATCTCTGAATACATTTTCGATGGAACATATGATTGCAACTTGTTCTGACTGGCTCTCCTCACTCATCCGTTTCGTGGAGGGGAGTTCGACAAATGCCACATTCGTCAGAATCACGAAGTGGGATCTCGTTCGGGGAAAGAGTCTGAACAGGTCTTTCAAAGTCCATCGCAATGTGCATTTCGGTCATTGTTAGACTATGCTTTGTGAGACGCATTCCAATATTCAGCAACAAGATGTGTCGAAGACGCACATACACCAATCTTTCGATAAATAGTGGAGGATGACGGCGCGTTACTGCGAACCAAAAATAGGGCATTAAATGCTCATTGACAAAATGATTGAGTCTGGTAATGCTTTGCTCGGAAAGAATTTCAAAGGCTCCCGCATTAAACAAGCGAAGATTCAACACTTCAGATTCTTGACCTTCGGTAAGCATGGGCATACCTTTGGCAAGAGTTTGTATCTCACTCGATTGAAGCCTGGGATCCGAATCCAAATACTGTTCGACGAGATTAGCAATGCGGCGGCGTCCTGGAGTCTGACGATTGATTATTAACGCATCTCTGGGGTCATCTAACATCATACACTCACGACAGAAGTCATCGATGTTTGGCCAAGTCAATCTTTCCATGGACCCACAAAGAGAACCATCTTGACGGCATGTACGTATGCATGATTCTTCGTGGCCACACTCCATGAACTGAAAATAAAGAGTGATACACATCTTGCAATGAGTATTCTGAAAGTTTGTGTAGGTGTTGAATAGATATCCGTTTTTGTTGATTGAGTAGATATCGTTTTCTGTTATTGTTGAAGTGGGCACGGTATGGTGTCTGGAGTTGTGGAAGGGAAGACTGAGAGGAGGTTCTCAAGCATTTATAGGTATCTGGATGACTTTGTTTAAGGATTGAACTGTGTGAACAGCTCATGAATATGTAAAGAACAATGCCGCCATGAGGGTCGAGGCTCCTAGGCCAGTCCCCGCACAACAATGTTGGAGATACCTACTACAACTTGGGTGATGAAGGCATGGCAATAAAACATCTATAGATTTAATAGTAGATTTGGAATGGTGAAATGTATTGAATGTGAATTTGAATACATCCAGACTTTTTTTATTTTTGACATTTATCTTCGCCTCTCGAGGAAAATAAAAGGGGGGTAGGGGGTCTCCAACAGGGTATTCAATAGTCTGGACTATAGTCCAATTAGAGCGATTCCAATATTCGAAATATTTTCAATCTCTGAAAACAATTGATGTATTTCAAGCAATTCAATATTATTTTTCAAAATAACATTTGAGATATATTCAGAGATTAAGAATATCTTATTGTTGGACTGCAATCTTGACTATTGGATACCCTGGGACTCTCTAAATAGGTGAGCTTTACAGCGAATATTACAGTGAACCTAACAGAAAAGCTAAACACGATAATCGTTATACCCAATGCGACAGAACAAAGCACTCGCTATGAATCTCTACCTGTGCTGTTCTAATGCAGAACAATCAAACAAGACAATTGTTCTTCCTTGAACGAAGAACAAAGAACAACCTCGAGAGTCACAAGGTGAATCAGAAAATACTAGAAAACAATGTTCTCTTTGGATCGACAATAGAGGACAACCAAGATACTATACAAAAAAAGTAAAATGTAATACCGTTGTGTAGCTCTGACTCAGGGGAGTGCTGAAATCGTGTATGTAGGATTAGAACTGACATTCGTCGGAACTACAGTAGAGAACAGCTATTACACAACATAACATGTTTATTCAATTCTCCAATTTCTTACAAAATAATTTGAAGGAGCACTACCCTTTTCATACACCAATATTACCACTGGGTAAAGTCCGCACACAAACAGTCCTTTCGAAAACGCTCAATTCATTGACCAACCGAATATCCCATCCCATCACATCCGAATTAAATACTCTATATATGATATACTGGAGTACATAGCCAACAATAATAAACAGTACTCACATATATTACTCAAGGATAACCGAATGTAAAGGTAGACATTACACACAATCTCCTCAAAACTCCCCAAATCTCCCCAAATCACACACAACCCATAAAACCACCCACTCTACTAACTCTATTAACTCAACTCAACAATAACCAGAAAACCATACTCTCTCTACTTAAGTACTAGACCTCAATCATTACTTTCCAGTAAAAAGAATCCAAGAGTCATAAAAGATATTACTCAAGTATATTAGTATTAATCCAAAGTACCAAGTCAAAAAGAAAGAGACAGATAAGAATCAAACAGTATTCATTTTCCGTCGTGCGTATAACCTATTTACCTCGCTTATAACCGCATCGGTTGAGCTATAGTAATCAGGCATTCTGCACTGCAAATCGAAATACCTCTAGAATGATGAATAGTAATCGCAATAAATCAGTGTTAGTAAGGGGGATCCGAGGGGGAAATACTTAGGGTTTAGAAATACTTAAGAAATAAGCATCGAGTGTCTTAAAGAAACATCGCTAGATAGTTTTAACAAGATCCATACCTTCACTTCCACACACCCTAGGCAATGGAGATCACATCAATCCAGGAACCAAAAAGTTAAATTTCGTAGTTGAAAGTATGAAGCAATCTTCTTATTCTTCATCTTTAATTCTTTTCATTCCTTCATCTAGCGTTCCTTCATCCATGTATGATTAAGTTCAGGAAGGAGGATGAAAGAGATAACTATTATTTACAATATTTCATTTTACACACTCTCCGTCCATGCATGTCTGGATCCCCACTGCATTTGCTCTTGCTGGCCATTGATTAGTGGTTATTATCACCGTAGCCATCCCATCGTAGTGATATAGTGCAACCGACCAATCGAGTTGCCGAGAGACTTTGCTCATAGGGTGGAAAAAATCTGACTATCCATCCACTCATCTGTGATGAGGGGCCGTGTTGGAAAGAAGTAAGAACGCCAACCAATGCAAATGCTTAGATTCTTTTCCTAATCGTGACTGGATCGCCCTCCAATTTTATCGTATCATCATGTTTCGCCGTACTGTTGGCAGCTGTGTTTTTGTTTGTAGAAATACTCGGTGATGTGATGAGTAGTACGTTGAGGTAATGAGATTATGTCTGGCTAAAAGGGGGTGGTCGTTTAATGAACTTGGGTAATAATACGTTCGATGGACTGATGGGTATCTGTGAAAAGACGGCTTTAAGAAGCAATGCGAAAGCAAAAGATGATGGAATTCGAAGTGGAACTATTGTGACCAAAAATTGAGTTCAACGGTGGTATCTAATCAACCCATCATGCTGGTTTCATCATCGTCATCGTCATCTCCTTGCTCTAGACTTTCGATTGCTTCTTTGATTTGCTGACTAGCCTGTAATTTGTTAGTGGCAACTTTTGCAATCAAGATGATGAAACATACCTTTGGATCTAAGTTCAGAGCGATGGTAAAATGTCGAACTGAAGCGCCCTTTTGCTTGATACTCTTGTAGAGTTTTCCCAATAAGAAGTGAACCATTGCCTCATCAGGAGCTAGATCTTTCAGAATTTTCAATTCCTCCAAAGCATCCTCCATATTCCCCATTGTCATCAAGCATCGGGCTTTTTTAAATCGGGTCAAGGCTGATTTCGGATCCAATTCAATGGCTTTTTTAAAGTACGCAAGTGCCAGTGCTTTGTTTCCTTTCTTGTCAACAACACTCCCCATGAGGCCCAAAAGCACCGCATTCGTTGGGTTGATTTTCGAGGCGGCTTCGAAGTGTATAAAAGCTTTATCGTAATTACCCATCTTCTCGTAAACTTTACCAACACCATAGTAGGCATTGTAATGTCGCCTATCAACAGCCATTGCCTGTCTGTATGAGGTAAGTGCTTTATCGTACTCTTCATTCATAACGTGTTCATGACCTTGAAGAGTAAACGCATAAGCAAACTTGGGATTGAGTTGTGTGGCCCGCTTGAAACACCGCAAAGCTTGTTCGTGATCTCGCATGAGTGACCAGGAATTTCCCAACGCACACCAGGCTTCTGGTGATTGCCAAGAAGAATCAACCAATTCGTGTGCAAGGAAAGCAAGATCGGTTTCTCTCTTCAAATGCCAAAGAACAGTAGAATAGATCTCCATATCCTCAAAGCGTGTTGGTGCTATTTGTCGAATTCGTTTGTATAAGGTTTCCGCTTCGGTATATGATGCTTGTTCGTAATGGGCGCGCCCCATTTGCGACAATACCCAAGGGGTGTCTTGTTGTTGGGTGGAGAGTGTAGAGAACGTCTCCAAGGCTTGATGTGATTGAAATTTAGCAAGCAAAGAATAGCCAGTGCCGAACTTCTTGAACAAGTCGAGAAGCCACCTTAAAGCATCCTCGCGGGTTCCACAGTCTGATTCAAATGATTTAGCACCAGAAGATTTTGAGGACACTAGGGCTCGGGATCTAGTATCTCCCTCCCTTTGTTCTAGTTCCATGTAATCTTCCACTGGTTTTCGGTTACCACTGACCTGTCTCCCGGCAGTTGAGGCTCCAGCTGGTCGCATAATCTTTGATATCGGAGGCCTCGCCTTCTTTAATTCCCGTCCAGGGGCTGGTCCAACAGTCGCAAGGTTACTGGAAGATTTGTTGTTTGTTGGGAGAAATTGGTTGATCAATCTGACACTCCTTCTCTGAGGTGCTCCAGGATCTTCCGATGGTTGTCTGGGTACTACCTGTCCAGATACAGTTCGCTTTCTATCCCCGACCGGTGCGGTAACATTGTTATGGCGGGAATTGTGCCCCGCGCTACTATCTTCCGAGATTTCTGCAGCAGCCTTTTGAAGTCGTTTCGAAGTCATAGATCGACCCATTTTTGGAACGTCCATGCTGAAGTCCATACCAAGCCCCTGTAGCGTTCGGTTCCTGCGAACGGGAGCTTGGGGAGGTTCCAGGTTGAGAGGGAATGCAGAAACCACACCGGGTTCTTTTCTACTCGGTGCAATAGTATAATCGAGAGGGGCATTAGGACCAGTAGGTGTTTCCATTGTATCAGAGTTGAGATTGCCGCCTCCAGTCGCAGGGAGGTTTGTAAGACTGGGGTTGCTCTCGGCGAGCTTCGAGGATGCAGAAGTAAGGGATCCAAAAAGGCCACCGGCGAATGACCGAGATGAAGAATTATTATGGAACGGATCCGCGGGGTCGCTCTGATAAGGTCGTGCGCTGGGTCGGGTTGGTTTATGCTCTTCCGCCAAGAAAGTCTCGATTGGGGCCTCTCGCTCTTGTGCATTCGACTTCAGTATTGCCTCCATCTCTACGCTCATCCGAAAAGTGGTCGAGACCCTAACATTGGTACCCATATCGCAAAGATTGGTAAATGCATCCCACATGAATGGATTCAACTTCAGCGCATCTTCGAAATAGCGAATCGACTCCTTCTTGTCATCAAAAGCGCGATACAGCTTCCCCAGTAAACAACAAACTGCAGACGCATCAGGGTACGGGTGTCGTGAGTATTCCGTGTGCTTGCCAAACGAGTTCTGTCCGCCCCAACAACCTCTATTCTTTTCTAACGCCACTATTCCCTCTTTCAGCTTTCCTAGGGCAAGGCATGCTTGCGCATAGATATATGCACAACCGAGATTTCCCGTCCTAGACCCTGGACCCTTTGCAACGTCGAAAGCGGAAGCATAATCGCCATGTCGTAGATGGCATAAGGAGAGGAGGTAAGAGGATTCGGGACCTTTCGGGGTGTAAGCATGCAATCGTTCTGCGAAGAACAAGGCATTCTTGAGGAGATTGTTATCAATGTGGTAGTAAATGAGTTGACATAGTTGAGTCGTGATACAAGGATTGATGGTTTCTTTTCTTGAGGGAGGCATTGCGTAGGATCGTGAAAGGAGGAAGTAGATCGAGTTCGCAGATTGTGTGTTCGTTATGACGTTCTCGCCATGAAGACAAACAGAATTTCGAACAATCCTTCAATTGTTGTGAAATAGTCCCGTCGAGGAGGTTCCCTTTGTTGATCGTCCAGGGCTTGAGCCAAAAAGGAAAAAGAGCTCTCACGCGCGTTACGTTATTTGGTTAATCTGATGAATGTAAACTTTTTGAAGCTCCACCAAAGCTATCTTAGGATTGATGACATGAATATTATCTCGTTATATTGTTGTTGAAAGGGGTAGTAGGTGGAAGAAAGCAAATAGGAACTTCGTGAATACAATCGGGAGGTCGGAAAACAGAGTCGGGGGAGTTGCTGGTTATTATTTATCAACGAAGGCGGAAAGGCAAGCCAATGCAGGACAGGCAGGAAAAGGGTAACGAGTCGTTGCCTTTGAAGAAAAAGCAAAGGCTGAAATGAACCCTAACCACCTCGAATAAGAGAATTTGCTGAAGGAAGGCGATATGAGATTTAGTAGGACTCGTAGGAGTAGGTAGATAATAAAGAGCAGACGAAGAGGAAGGCTGAATACGATGCAAATGCAAATGTGAATGCAGAAACCGACTCTTCTTGTAAAAATGGTTATATATTAACTATTTCTTGCTATTAGTGTCAGTATACAGATATTCTTAATTTTTGTTCTGTTGTGGTTTGTCTGCTCGCGATGGGAACGGCGGGAATGATTGGTTGCAGACCATTCACCCAGCAACAATCAGAGGGCTGTGTCAGGGAAGGGAAGTTTTGCATTAGTCAGCAATGTACAATAACATAACCTCAGCCTTGTGAAGAAACACAATTTCAACACGCAACTCAACAATATCTATCCTCTCACTCTCTTAATCACTTAATTACATTATCCTGTTCGAAAATCGGTCGTTACAGCAAGCTGAAGACGGCACAGGGAAAAGAAGGGTTATTTATTCTCGTACATTATTTGACGGTCATTATATCGACATAATCGTATCTCTCAACGATCCAGAAGAGGCCAGATCCTGAAACCACGAACTTATTGTTCTTTCTCAACTTCCACACAACCTTCTACCTCCTACGTAATGGCACAGAAAGCGAAAAAGGACAGGGCGAAGGCCAATACCCAAACACTCAACTATCTCCACTATGGAGCATTTCTCGCAAATGCCCTATTCTGCCTCTCCCATTTTTTAGTACGATCTCGGAATATGTGGGCCTATGTGCTTCTCTCACTCGCACCCTGGGTTATTGAATGGTTCCTCGAGCGCAATAGTCGTCCCAAGTTCGACCAAGCTGGCAAAATGGTTTCCGCGGGAGAAGATCTCGCAGCTCCAGGATTGACGGAATATATGTTCGATATCATATGGATGCATTGGTTATCATTGCTTGCTGTTGTTGTATTTGGCAACTGGGGCTGGCTCATATTTTCGATAGTGCCGATATATGGACTTTACAAGGTGTTTGGTCTGTGGTCGGGAGCAAAGGGAATGATGGGTGGGGGCCAGGGAACACAGGGACCTCAAGAACCAATGCCGATGGCAGGTAATAGAAGGCAAAGAAGACAGTAAGGTCTGTTATAATGATATGGTTCCAGCTGAGGGCACCATTGAAGCTTTGTCAGTTGGGTGGAATGATTGTTATACATATGAGCTCCCGTATACAGACACATTTCTGTGTATATACATCGTTTTATACCTTGTTTTCCGTCCAGAACTTAATATCATCTTTCTGGACATCTCTGACTAGGACATGGATATGCTCTAGAGCCCTTACACTCTGCAATGCGATCCAGTTTTTGAACCACATTACTCGATTGTTGCCACTCAACCGATCACCAAATGTCCCATTCACAAAATCTTCAATGATTCTTCTGCTCTCATCCGTGACGTCTCCATTCTCATTGTCGGTAGCGATGGGTGTTTTAGACCACACTACGAAATGAGTAACATCCTTGGAGAGACCATACGGCCAGTCATTTAGTAGAATCTTATAATCCGATGGAGTTTTGAAGGGGACTGAGGAAATATAGGTAAATGGTGGAGAGCCCCATGGGAGTCGATGTTGGAGGATATAATTCATCATACTTCCATACTCAGATTTGGTAGCTGCAGACCAGGATATGTATCGACGTAGGTCCGAAGGTTTTCGTTTGAGGATTGAGAGGTTATTTGTCGCTTGATGTGAATCAGCATTGGGTGGAAACGTACAATGTCATGTGTGTGAGAGAGAGAGAGAGAGAGAAAGCTAGATTATGTGAGACTTGGCGTATGACACCACATTGTCATCACACTGGTGATCCTTCATCCTTCATATATTCTCTGATCTCTCGCATGTAATCAATACAATCAGAGGGAGCTCACCTATGATCTCTTTTAAGTCATCCCAATCATGTAATTTGAATTCTTCATCCGTTTGTGACAAAACCCATCTATCTGTAGCCGTAAGAGGAAATGATGAATCCTCATGATTGACTGATTCCCCCATTTCTTAACACGGCTGAAAATTACTCTATTAGGGAATTGGTTCAGCCCTGTTAATTTGATGAGGTTATTGACAGAAGAAGGAATCGCTCCGGGTTGAATTGAGTTGGTTGAGGAAATCTTGTCCTCATCAGGGTAAAGTTCGGCAAGCGAGCTTCGTCAATTGTACAAGTACTGTAGCTTAGCTTTGCCAGTCCCGCGGAGAAGAACCGAAGAACCGAAGAACTGCACTTTAAACTTCTCACCACCATTCCATTACTTAAGTCGGGTCTCCTCTCGGTACTTGGAAAGTTGTTAACGGCATACTATATATTCGGGTATTCCTTCAATTGTTCATTCAGTTCAGACATCAAACAAGCAAGAAGTGCAAGAAGTGCAAGGATCGCAATACAAGCCCAACAATTTCTCGAGCTCCCACCGGATCTGCCAAAATGAGTATAGCACCAGCAAACAAGTTCTTGTCGAAGACATATATTGATGGGATTTATATTCCGTCAGGCCTTCTCATATTTGGATGTTTCATTGTCAAAAAAGAATGGCTTCCTTTCGCTGTTGCTCTTGCTGCTCTTCTCGGGGGGTATAAGGTCTGGGCGAGCCGTAAGCTTTCACTCTCTTGATTCTCTCGACGACTTCATCTCAAGCTGACCTTTTAATCAGAAGAAAATCCTGTCCTCAAGCCAACTGTCTTCCAAAATTTTGAGCTCAAGGAAAAGACCATCATTTCCCACAATGTAGCAATGTTAGTTGAATCCTACCCGGCTCTGACAACTTCTTCTAACATAAGCACACAGCTACCGATTCAGTCTGCCAAAACCTACTTCTATTCTCGGTCTCCCTATCGGTCAACACATCTCTATCTCCGCTGTCCTTCCCCAGCCCGATGGGCAAAACAAGGAAATCGTTCGATCCTACACTCCTGTTTCTGGCGATCACCAACCCGGTCACTTCGACCTCCTCATTAAGTCTTACCCAACCGGAAACATCTCTAAACATATGGCTTCTCTCATCGTTGGTCAAGCCATCAAGGTCCGTGGCCCAAAAGGTGCAATGGTATACACTCCCAACATGGTTCGTCATTTTGGTATGATCGCTGGTGGAACTGGTATCACACCCATGTTACAAATTATTCGTGCAGTTATTAGAGGAAGAGCTGCCGGAGATAAGACCGAGGTTGATTTGATTTTCGCAAATGTCAATCTTGAAGATATTTTGTTGAAGGACGATTTGGATGGTTTGGCCGCTGAGGACAAGGGATTCCGAGTTCACTATGTTTTGAACAACCCACCCGAGAAATGGGATGGTGGTGTTGGATTCGTCACTCCTGAGATGATCACCGTAAGTCTTGTCAATCTTAGGACTGACGTTTATATCAGCGCTAACGTCATACAGAAATTGCTTCCAAAGCCAGCAGAAGATGTTAAGCTCTTACTTTGCGGACCACCACCTATGATCAGTGCCATGAAGAAGGCCTCTGAAGGGCTGGGCTTCAAGAAGGCGAAGCCAGTCAGCAAACTGGAAGATCAAGTCTTTGCTTTTTAATCAATCCCTCTGCCAATGTTGTGTTCAAGATGAGATAACTAAAATTAGATATTGGGAGAAACTCAACAAATGTTAGCAGAAATAGAAGAAATTCGAGAGGAGAAGGGCAGAACTTAAACACCTTCTCCAAGACAAAATCATCACGGAATTCCTTTGGTGCAGCTAAACTTTCCATTTCAATGGGAAGTCTCCACAACTTTCATGTTTCAACAATTCACTTACTGGAGACTACGAGTAGTATCTCGGCTCATATTGGGTGAGGGTGAAGGTTTAACAACTAATCCATCTTCTTACTTATTTCTACAATTGAGCCTCACAGTTTTATCATATGAGTAAGCCAGAAAGGTACTCGATTATTCTGTCCAAGCAATTTTGAATTATTTCATCACGCCCAAGCGATGCTGTCCATGTAAGCCTTGATCCCCAATCCCATGTCCTATCGCGAGTCTACAAGTTGTAGCAAGATCTATACTAGATCTTCTGGAGTTGTTGGGTGGCTTTTTCCAACATGATTCCTCGGCACAAAAATTTGGTCGAGATCAGGGCATACCCTTGTCTTAATATTACCACATAGGGAAAACATGACAATCTTTACCGCTGTAGGACTTCGTGAATTTTTCTCACGTCGATTTTAATGATACTTTAAACGCTTTCTCCACAATTTGAGGCTATCTTAAGAAAATGGCAATCCTCTACTTGGTAGGCTGCTGGTCAGTGCGGGAGAACTATTCGGTCGGTCCCGAAAGTTTGTTCTCATGCAATTCCGAGTGACCCAAATCCCGTAGTTTTACCTTGATATCGCACTCAGCTCTGTATCAGTGCCTCGCGAGTATTGTGAGTATCGGTTTTCATACTTTATGTCTTCAAAATTTGAGATTTTTCTTGTGCTTCGGATTTCTGGGTGTGTGCGCCAACATCCCACCAATGAATATAGCCCACAAATCCTAAAAAAGCCGCTCGACTCGGTGTCGAATTGTATGCAAACTTCCAAGACTGACCAGCCCATGGATGTAATTCCTTAGATAGTAAGCCGACATTGGCATTCGGACGCTGGCAGGCCAAAAGGATTTCGATCGAGGGAAACAATCTTCAAACGCGTCAAAGTTCTTGGCGAGCGCCTGGCCAAGCAAACATCTATCTGATCTCCAACTTTCATTTCTACCAAGTAACAAATAAAGATATAAAGACCTTCGGGCCACCTTATAGAGAACTCATATCGATAATCATTTCCACATCAGAACATCCAGCAACCGGCAGTGCCATCAATCTTTGTCAAGCTTTCATTTGTTATAACAATCATTTTCTCAAGCTTTACAGTATCAAAAAATACTACAATCATTTATATAGTCATTTTTTCGTCAATCACGAAAACCACTACAATCATCAATTTCAAAATGCAATTCTCTACCCTTCTCCTCTCGGTTGCAGCCCTCGTCCCGTCCGCCCTCGCCTGTCTCGTAATCGACATAACTTACACGCTTCAAACAGCCAGCAGCTCCAGCAAACTCCGTGCCACCATTGTCGACAACGGTGGACTCGTCTGCTACAAAGACGAAATCAATCCCTCCACGGCCAGCAAATCACTCTTTCAGCTCGATCCCAACGTCGCCAACGTCCACGATGTCAACGAAACCTTCCAGGAGTGTGTCGCTGGCTACCATACCAAATTCCAGGTCGATTTGTCGGATAAGAATGATAAGAAAGGCAACAATGTGATGGAGAGTTACACTTACTTGGATCAATTTGGCAATAATCCTAGTTATGGTCCTTTTGGCCTGGGTGCTAGAAATAAGATTGCGGCCACAAGCACTATGCCTGAGCAGTGGAACTGGCATGTTGAGGCTTTGGGATGTTAGGTGGATGGTGAGATGAAGGTTGGGGGGATAAGCGTGAGATAAGAGGATAGGATATTGAAAGGGAGGGGGGGGGGGTTGAGGGATGGGTGCACTGGATTGGCTGGAGGAGATCAATTGGTAGATGCTCTGTGTATGTTGGAGCTGGTCTCGAGAGATCGATGGTTGGTTTCTTTGTCTTTACTTTTCCTTTTGTTGGTTGTTTTTGTATTTTGTCTTTTGCTTTTTCTTTTGGTTGGGCTGTATGGGATGGGATGGGATAGGATAGGTGGACTTTTGGGACTGGTGCTCGGGAGAGATGATGAGATTAGATGGGCGCGCTTGTTGTCATTTGTGGTGTATCGTATCATAGAAATCAATCAATTGATTCGGTATCTCATATTTTGATTATTTGTGTTGTATTGCAATGTGATGATGATGATGATGATGATGATGAGGTGAGAGTTCTATATATTGAAATGATGCGATGAATAAAATAAAGGGATGCAATTTCCAACTCGCCCCGGTATTCCCTCTCCTTATTTACTGTACATATTCCTGTGGTGGAGCGAGATTATTCATGTACCTTCAATGTCTGAATTGATCTGAGATATTTTTCAATCTTTAAATCGCATCTAATACCGGTATTCCCTAAAGGTCAAGTTTTCATTATTCAGAATATCCAGAACGCTAATTAAATATTCAGACAAACTATTTACTCTCTTATACTCGAGTATAATATGACTATTATTAACTAATTATCTCTTTCTGAATTATTTTTCTATAAATTCCCTTTTTAATTATATACTATATCGTAAACTTTTCTATGTTTCTTTGATTTATAGATTCTATATCGAGTATATACTCGTAGTATTATAAGATTATATAGATTGTAATTTTTAGTATACTTGTATCGATATACAGTATATTTCAGTTTTATTTTTAACGATTTTCTATATTATATTAGATTTCTTGAGATTTTGTTTAGATTATTATATTATATCTTGTACGAGTATTGATTCAAGTTACTATTTTATATTATTCATTACTATAGCTTAGACTTCTTTTTATATTTAGACAAAGATTTGAATAGAAGACTATAGTATAATAGGTATAAAATGCGGCAGCGAAGAAGTTATAGTAGTTATTATAAGGATTATATTAGAGTCGTAATAAGTAATGAATGAGATAGAATAGAACAGGATGGATGGAGTAGAATGGGCTGGGTTGGGCTGGGCTGGAATATTGTGAGCTATAGTTTATGTATTTTTGGCTATGATTTTTGGCAAGGGAAGAGAGATGAGAGTGTGGGTAGGTAGTATATTCATTCGAAGACAAACATAAAATAAGAGTTGATTTACTATACGAGTGCTAGTATAGGAGTTTAGGTTTTTATATAGGGGTATAGGGGCTAGTTTGAGTGTGATTTAATGTGTAGTATAGTAAGTATTATTCCTCTAGAGTATTCAACTAAATCAAAAGATAATAAGTAATTCGAGTATAGTGGTCTACTTCGTTCATTAATATGGCTCATCTATCAAAGTAGACGTTTTATAGAATAAGCGATGATGAAGAAGTATTCACGATCTCGGCGGGGCATTATATTAATTGAGATCAAATCATGTGAATCACAGAAGCATTTGGATAAGTTCATTAGGCTAGTATAATAGATTCTTTTATTTGTCTAAATAAGAAATCTAGAGATAACATACTCGTAGGACCATTGAGTAGTACTATTGAAGTACTCGTAGACAAGAATAGATCGAGAACATTGTGAAAGTTTATAACAATTATCAATTACTCGAGTACATTGAAGAAATGAAATCAAAACATAAAACAAAATAAGATAAAAATTTACTTGACAGCTAGCGAGTAGAAGAATCATGAAGTCGACAACAACTAATAAGATATATTGTTATTTAAAGTTTTTCTGATCATACTTCTATCACACGCTTGAATGTTTTTGATCCCAGCGAGACTCATGGACTGGTCCAAATCTGCCAGTAATCCTTGCAGGACATTCTTTGCTCCCATTTTCCCTCCGATGGCTAGTCCGTACATCACTGGTCGCCCGACCAGAACCGCCTTGGCACCTAGACACAATGCCTTGATAATATCGACGCCTGTTTTGACACCAGAATCAAATAAGACTTCCAGCTTAGATCCAACGGCGTCAACAATTTCAGGAAGCACCTCCAGAGATCCTATTGCCCCATCTAGTTGTCGACCTGTTTGTCGTTAGAAAAGAGCAGCAATGCTGATAGTTTTATCTTACCTCCATGATTGCTCACAATTATACCATCGCAACCAGCCTGCACAGCAAATTGCGCGTCCTCAACACTCTGTATACCTTTCAGTACAATAGGGCCTTTCCACACTTCTCGTAGAAGTGCAATCTCTTCCCAAGTATGACTTCGTCCATAAATGCTCGACAGCCACTCTAAAGATGCTTCAAAAACCTTATCCTCCGGTGTCAATCCGGACTTCTCGAGGAATCTGGCCCGAAAAACGGGATCGGAAAATCCAATTTGATTCCCGGTGCCAGAAATAAATGGAATGTAGGCAGCGTCAAGATCTGCAGGTCGCCAAGCAAGTGTTATAGTATCAAGGGTCACCACAAGCACTTTGTACCCATTCTCCTGGGCGCGCTTGAGCAGAGATTGAGTGAGGTCATTTGAGTTTGGCCAATAGAGCTACTATCGTATCAGCTTGCTGGTGTGTCAACTCACCCTTGCCATGCTTACCTGGAAGAATCTGTTTCCTTTCCTATTTGCCTCTGCGACCTCTTCAATCGTAGATGTAGCAGCAGTACTTAGAATAAAGGGTACTCCCAGTTCTTCACAGACTTCTGCGACCCCAGTTTCTTTGTCGGGATGAAAAATACCTTGGACGCCTATAGGTGCCATCATGATCGGGTGTGCTTTTGTAACTCATTAGCATGACCTCAAACTTATGCTCTTCTCGATATTCCGAGAAGACGGAGAATGAGCTTACGATAACTATCTCCAAACAAATTTATGGATAGATCCTTCTCCGTAGTCACGTCTCTTAGCATCCGAGGTATCATTTTCCATTGTTTGAACGCAAGTCGGTTGGCCTCTACCGTGGACCCCTCTCCAGCCCCGCCAGCCAAATAGTTGAAGTATTTGGGCTCAAGATTCTGTCTAGCTTGTGCTTCGAGCTTGTTAGGATCCGTCGTGACCAGTGGTTTAGTACCACTAAGTAGTCCTGCCGCATATATCTCGAGCTGATAGAAGCCATATGATATGGGCTTTTTATCAATAGTCCCAAGCAAAGGCTTCATCGTACTGGCTGTCGATACTAAATTATCTGATAGAATGGTGGTTCAATATCTAGATCCAGGGCTTCCTCTACACGATCCTTGTGGAGAAATAATCTCGAGTCATATATGTATGAGTCAATGGCTGTTACTCCCCATTCTTTCCTTCGATTTCTACCCTATTTTTATCTGTTCGGCCTACGGAGTATTCTCCATTCCACTTAGTATTTACAATATGCATAATTAGCTATTCCACACTAGGGCTAAATAGGGCGTTTTGTTTGTTTTTAAATTAATTAAATGCGCGCATGTCCCGATGTAGTTCTTTTACCAGATAATTTATTTCATGATAGGAGTGTCTGCATCAATAATATAATATATTTGCTTATATGCAGGTAGGTGATGGGTTGAAAATAGAAGCAGACTTCCCACACCCAGTATTTGTAGTGGTGCCATTATTAGCGGGGTAGCGTAGCCGTTCGTACCAGGGTCAGAGGAGACTTGGCCGGCTATCTGTGCAATGGGAGCATTGCCATTGCTGTGCCGTGAGATGGGAGCAGTGAATAAGTAACGTCCACCAAAACTTACTCGATAACTCTTTTATATCACTTTAAAAAGTCTACTCGGTACACGAGATCGATAACCGTATCTAGTTTCTATTGCTCTCAGTAATCAGGCGGCCTATTTGATAATCGGAAAGATCCAATATTCACATTTATTTCTTGAAGCGTAGTGGTTCAGCAAGGATGGAACAAGAATCCCTTTTCCGGCGGCTTTGCTCCATTCCCGCCGTATCTGCGACGGCAGTCATTTGTTACTTTGTCTACTGCTTTTTCCGTGGTGGTCTGTATCGATACCCTGGTCCCACCCTTGCAGGCTTCACAAACTGGTGGTGGACAGCCAGCGTAAAAAGCAATCATCATCACGAAACGATGATCCAGTTGCATCGCAAGTATGGAGACGTTGTCAGAATTGGCCCTAATGCCCTCAGTATCGCAAACGTGGACTACATTCCCAAGATATACGGAATCAATAGCGGGTTCACAAAGGCAAGTCATCGTGTTTCCATAAATTTTGATACTCAAATCATGTAACTGATTTTATGTTTAGAGTGAAATGTACAATCTCTTCGCTCCAAGGGTCAATGGAGTGCCCTTGCCGTCGTTACTGTCGATGCGCGACGAAAAGGAGTATGCGCGCCAGAAAAAGATGATCCACCACGCCTATTCACTTAGCTCACTCACAGAGTATGAACCACTCGTCAATGGTATCATCTTAAAACTTATGGACCAGTTCAAAGTGAAATCCGACAAGCAAAATAACAAAAGCGTTGACTTGAGTGTCTGGCTTAGATATTGTAAGGCGTCTGTGTATACATGGGATTCCAAAGACTGATTGCTTCTGTTAGATACTTCCGATGTTATTATGCAATTGAGCTTCGGCAACAACCTCGGATTCGTCGAGCAGGGGAAGGATATTGCAAACTACATGAAAGAATTGGACAAGTTACTTGACTTGGCTGCCATAGTAAGTTTCCCACGAATATATTCAGAATCGACTAGGAGCTGATTAATGTTTAGGCTCTAACGATGCCTTGGCTTGGATGGGTCATAAAACACAGCCCTCTTGTCACCATGATACGAAAAGAGAGCACAACATTCCCGGAATTCTCGCGACAGCAGATCGGAGAGCACATAGCAGAGAATAAGAAGAGACAATTGAACCAACAATCCGGAGTGGAAGACAAAAACGGGCGTCCATTAGACCTGCTAGATAGATTTTTGATCGCGGCCCAAGCAGATACCCCTACCGGCTACGATCTTGATCTGGTTATCAGCTGGACTCTAGCAAACATCATGGCAGGCGCGGACACAACCGCTATTGGCCTTCGCGCCACTGTGTACTACCTTCTAAAAACTCCAGAAGCGTTGCGCAAACTCAAAGAGGAGCTGAGCAAAGCAAACTTGACTTATCCCGTTACGTGGAAAGAATCGCAACAACTTCCATATCTGGATGCTTGTATCAAAGAAGCGTTCCGTCTTCATCCCGCCATTGGTCTAGGTCTTGAGAGAAAGGTCCCTGTCACGGGCTTGATGCTTCCAGATGGGTTCAACCTGTCTCCTGGCACAAATGTGAGTGTCAACGCCTGGGTTTCAGGACGCCAATCAATCTTTGGACCCGATGTAGACAATTATGTACCAGAGCGATGGCTGCAAGGCAAAGACGAAGACCTCAATGCATATAAAGAGCGAATTGGTCATATGAAGCGCGCGGACTTAGTATTTGGTTCCGGTACTCGATCTTGCTTGGGGAAGAATATCAGTTTGTTGGAGATATACAAGATCGTACCAACCTTATTTCTCAATTTCGACGTTGAACTAGTGGATCCGAGTAAGTCATGGGTCACAACTAATCGATGGACAGTAAGACAGGAAGGCATGGAATGCTGGCTCAACCCAGTGTGAATCAATTTTAATTTTACTACATTGGCTATGGCAGGTTGCTGGATTGTTTGCGTTTGCTTTCATAGTTTTTCCCTCTCAAGCACAGCTTCAATCAAACTTTCTGTTCCAGGATCATCATTCCAGATTCCCGTGACTCTAAGTCCCGCTGAAGCAAGTAAATCCCTCCATTGCTTTTCTGTTCTCTCGGCCGAGGATGCCAGCGACATCATGTACAAATCTAAAGCAGTAGCCTTCCAAGATGCACCAACATCGGGAATGACATTTTCATTGATTAAGATTTTGGAATATCCAGGCTCCATTGCTTCTATTATGTTTCTAAGAATCATCCGGCAGCTATCATCAGGCCAGTCGTGCAAGACTGAATGTAAATAATACCCACGTGCGCCTAAACAAGATTTAGAAAGGTTATAGCGGAATAGAGAGAGGATAATTCTGATTTACGTACCTTTAATCGTTTGCGGTTGAAAGAAGTCGTGACCCATAGGCTCTATTCCATCTAACTTATTTTTGATCGTCTTGATCAGGTCGAATTGGTCTTGTAGAATAAGTCGTCCTTTCACACCAGGAAATTTGCTCCTGAACTCACTTACATCTCTTCCAATTCCCCCTCCCACATCTACTAACAAGACCGCTTTCTCATCAGTTTTCAGGCCTTTAAGCAGTCTTTCTTTCACAGGATACACGCTTGCATCCATCCAGCTCGATCTTCCAATACGATATCCGGCCATGTGATTGTTGAAAGCCTTTCCAATTTCTTTTCTCTCTCTACCCCATTCCCATGATGATAATGCGGTCTTGTGTGCAAATTGAAATGGACCATTAAGATTCTCAGTTGGGCTTTTATATCCCGTTTCAGCGAAGTACTGCGGTAGGGACAAGATGGATGGTCCAGCGCAGTCGTAGCAGAATGGGATGGCGTCACGATAGTATGGGACGGTAAGAGCGTGTGAAAGCCGGGTCTGTGTGAAGCTCGAGATTCCCACTTCATTGATAACAGACATTGCAGCCAAATGCCGCAGAAGACGGTCCAGTAAATTTGGCGATGAGCCGGTCAGGGCAGCAAGCTCAACCGTTGTTTTGGGTATAGTCGCATCTAGGTGCGTGAAAAGCTTGAGGTCAATGGCTATGTGTACTGCGGCATAGCGAGTGGGCTCTGCCCAGGCCATGCGAGTAATGGCCTCGATGGGGGTTTCGAGGGTAGTGATGAGGGCTCTTGCTTGGGCTATTAAAGCAGTGCGGCTCGCCTCATTGGGTGAAGCGATGAGTGCGGCACCTGTAGCGGCGATAGATTCGAGGATGGGCGGTACCGAGAATAGGGGTGAAGGCTGAGCAGAAATATTAAAAGACATCGTAGTGGTGGTGTCTTGCGGGTGGCTCTCGATGAGTTTGAAGTGATCTATAATTTGTAGGTGGATTTGTATTGATTTCCGTCAATCCATTTGCACATTGCTTGTTGCCGATTTTACAACATTGTTTTCGGGAATAGTTGCACCGAATCGTCGGAAAATCCACTTTTGCTTACTTACGTTTCACGTTTCTAAACAACCTCGCATTGAGGGCTCAGCAGCCATCAATAATGCAGAAAGCCGGAAGAGGATAATAAATGCCATATCATCCCCCCAACGCCACTGGCCTGCATGTAATGTCGTATCCCTCGCCCCTTCCCCCGACGCCGCTGGCCTGCATGTATAGTAAGACCGTTAAACCCGGACCCTAATTTCAATCTAACAACCACAAAATCCTTGTAGCACCACCCAATCGAGATATTTCATTTTTTGTATCCATGAGTTTTGCAGTAACTGCAAAAGTAATTCACTTGATTGGACCCCTGGTCACCAATCGACAGAAAAGTTTGTGGAACGTGACAGGATATCACATGTACGTAGGTATTGATCAAACGGAAACTTTTGCAACAACAAAGTCACTTTCTAGTCAAATTTTCATCGATTTCCGAAGAAGTTATCATCTCATCAAGCTATCACCTAGAAAAATTATAGCTTGATCATATTATCACCCTAAATCCTTCATCATTCGCGATGGTCTCGCCACAAGCAAATCAGACTTCACCCGCAGGCCAACAGACTCAACCCGCGAGCGAAAATCAGCGCGAAAAAGAAGGAGGGCTGGTATATGATGATTCGAATACCAGGGATACCGAGCTCTTTCAACAAAATGTGTCCCAAGATTGGGAATTTGGAATGCAAGAGAAGCTCATTGTGACCGTGCTAGTAGTCATTTCTCTATTTGTTGCTCTTGATGCAGCAATTTTAGCCCCAGTCCTACCAGTACGTATTGACCAAATTTATTATGAAAGTGAAATTCTGACACACTCAGACAATAGCTAAAGATCTTCATGGTTCCGCCATCGATGTCTTCTGGGTCGGTACATCGTACCTCTTGACTTGCGCGGCGTTCCAGCCTTTTATTGCTGCAACTTCTGATATATTCGGACGCCAATGGCTGCTCCTGATATCTGTCAGCCTTTTCACCCTTGGTACTTTGATAGCTTGCTTGGCACAAACCATCCCCCAAATATTGGCAGGTCGAGCTATCCAGGGAATTGGAGGCGGAGGAGTCATCTCATTGGTCTTGATTATCATAACTGATATTGTTCCACTTCGACAAAGACCCAAGTATGGTAGCCTTGTACAAATTCCTTGGGCTCTGGGCGGTATCATCGGTCCATTGATTGGGGGTGCCTTTGCTCAACACGTAACATGGCGCTGGATCTTTTACATCAACTTTCCCTTCTGCGCCATGGGATTGGTGGCCATTCCATTTGTCGTCAAGATGAAAACTAGGCGGGCTCCACTCCGTACTAAACTCCGCTTGGTGGACTGGGAAGGTGGCTTTCTCTTCGTGGCAAGCATTACAAGCTTTTTGATAGGTACGACTTGGGGTGGTGTACAATTTCCTTGGTCGAGCTATCAAACGCTGCTTCCGCTGGTGCTTGGAATATTCGGCATATTAGCCACTCTGGTATGGGAGCGGTGGGGAGCTCGTCAGGCCTCAATTAGATTGAGTCTATTTGCGAGCAGGTCAGGCTGGGCGGTATACACATGCTCTGTTATACAAGGGCTAATGGTAAGTGCAAACCTCCGCCAGTATTGATTTTATCTAACAAATAAATTTGAAAGCTTTTCTCTCAATCCTACTACTTAAATCTGTGGCTTCAATCCGTCCGTGGTTTTTCTCCAACAATGAGTGGAGTCGGCCAACTCCCAATAACAATCAGTCTGATTCCGTCGAGCATCATCGTGGGTGTGGTAATGACTCGAACTGGTCACTATCGCTGGGCAGTATGGGCCGGCTGGGCGATGGTCATACTAAGCAGCGGTCTAACCATCCATTTCGACCATGAAGTATCCCAAGCATACTGGATCATTATACTCGTCTTGGTGGGTGTAGGCCATGGGATTCTCCTGAACGCTCAAATAGTATCAGCGCAAGCCAGCGCAAAAAGTACAGATGTGGCCTATGCCGCAGCTATGTACGCCTTTGCACGTACCTTTGGAATGGCCATCGGTGTTGCTATCGGGGGGACCATCCTCCAGAATCAAATGCAACACGCTTTGGAGTCTTTTGGTCTCCCAACTTCAATTGCTCAAGATGCTGCCGGCTTCATCAGCCAATTAAACTCCTTGCCAGATGATTCGCAATTCAAGATGGAGGTGATCAGCGCCTACTCTCAAGGATTTCGTACAGTGTTCGAAGTTTTGACTGCGATTAGCGGAGCGGGTGGACTTATTAGTCTGGCGATTGGTAGCTATTCTCTGGACAGACAGTTGGACTCAGAGCATGTATTGAACACTAGTTAAACTTTCTATTTCATCCTCTACGAAACGGTCATATTGCAATTCATACATTCACGTCGCATCAGAGATTATAAGTCTATGTATCATATCTAAGTAGTCTGCGTGGAAATATAGTTCACAATGAATAATAATTCAAGATTGATACCGCTGTTGAGGGCTAGCTTTGGATCCGTCACAGTTAACCCCGCAGCAATCCGCACGAGACCCAAAGTTTATTTCTATTTACCTTCGTTTCAAAACCATAACTTCCACTGAGATTTCAGGTCCAAATGCCCCGCTAACAACGTTTTCTCTCCCAGAACAACCCCTCAGCCTGTCTATAACGCTGAAGATTGTTACGCTTGAGCTGTTATCGTACTACATTTACACCAGCCCACAAATGCTCTGGAGAAAGACCCATCGTTTTTTTAATTCTCATAAGTATAGTCGGCCCACCAGGGTGAAGTGCCTAGTCAAATTTCGTCCATCTAAATTCCTCCCAATCTGTTGTTGTCGTTGGATAAGACTAGGCACAGAGTCTACAAATTTACAAGCTTGCGGAAATCTATATATACTTTTAAAGATACTCGTACAAAAGCCAGAACTCTTTGCGAAAATGCCATTTTCCATCCTAGATGGCATTTCAGTAAACGAGGTATAGGGTGGCATGAAGAACATACTTTATCGGTCATATGTAAGCCTCTGCAACTTACTCACCTAACGGATTAACATCAAATCGTAAATCATCTTCAGAATCTTCTATGTTATCGTATCATAGCGTCAGCCAAAAATGAATGACAAGACAGGTTTCACCATTCAGAGCCAGATATTGAACTCGGTGTGGAGAGTCCATGATTGAGGCAACTTTGCCTTGCTATCATTTGAAGGTAAATATTAAGACCTAGCTCTGAGAAGGTCAACCGATAAGTTCACTTGTAATAACGTTTTTTCTATTACAAGGATACGCCTAGACGAGAATTGAAAGGCAGTAGACATCAGCATCGAGGGAAATTCAGGGATCCTGATTTCCCCTTCTTAGTACTCCCTTCCATTTCCTGTCCTGCTTCTAATCTATCTCTGAAAAAAAAAGAAGGTTTCTTATTCTGTGTTTAGGGTGGAAGAGGGGGTTTTCGTTTGGTAGTAGAAGGTAGATATTTCAAATTTAATTTAATTATTCAAAATCCTTTTCTATCAATTCAATCTTTGTTATATTATTTTATTGAGATGGTTAAATAGTATATTTTTTGATACTCCTTGTGTTTATTCCTTCCTAACCTTATTTTAACCTTTTTTTATCCTGAAAAGAATCTGACAACTCCTTCCTGCTCCTAACGTTAGGCGCCAGCGAGCCTATTCCTTCCTGTAAGACAGGAGGATAAGATAGGAGGGAAATCAAGATCACTGATAAGACTTTGGTTCCTCAGAAAGGCCCTACCCATCCGACTGAAAAGGAAAAGGAGGGCATGTTCTCCACGCACTAATTTGCATTACGATGCCGGGTGAAGTGATTTGTCATGTTCCTAGAGTAGAAGCAGAATAATATGAACCCCGGTCAAACAATGTTAAGATAGAAATTACCCGAGCTTATCTGGATATGCAACACAACTATAATGGGTAGGTGACAGCGATAGCTCGGCCGATGAAAGGGATAGATATTGCTGGGGTTCTAAGGTGGTGTGTGTTTCGGATGTCATCATTTTTAGAGCCACTCCTGTATATTCTTAGATATATTGAGGAATAAGCACTAGCGGATTATGGGCATTAGGTTGTGGGGGTTATCCCGTTAAGTGCTATAAGCTTATTTTGTGTGGTATGTGCTTACTAAGCTGGAATAGTATCGACTTTCGATATATAAAAACATAACG